TCCACGCTCCCGTCCTTGCATGGGACCCGGCTGCGCAGACGGCCTTTCCCAGCTGCACCCTCCACACCCCCTTCGCCCATCCTCCTTTCCCAGCCCCCCCAGCGCGCCATTTGCACGCCGCCCCCCACGCCCGCCGCAGTTCGCTGTTGCCGCTTTCTCCCGGTAACTCTGCCTCGCGGCCCCATCATTTTCCTGGACGGACCTCCGAGGAGGAGGAGCCGATCCCCTCCTGCCCAATTACTCTCGGTTTGGTTCACCTGCTCTTCACGTCTCGGGTGCTCGGCTCAGTTTCCTCCTCCTGATCTTCTCATCCGTTCCCCGCCGGCTTCCTCTTCCTCCCGTCTTCATCCTCCCCACCACCCACCCCACCTTCTCCCTGCTTCCATGACTTCCATGCAAGCATTTCCCCCTCCTCTCCCTTCCCCTCTTTTCTGTTTCCTAATTCTGCCTCCCGCTCTCCGCAGACGCTGCCCATGGATACTAGCCCCCCGATGCCAGACCCCGGGGGCCCGCGGAGGGACTTCACGGCCCCTGCGCCCGAATCGGGGCCTCCGTCCTTCGAGTGGCTGCTGGGGCGGCTGGGGGCCGGGGGCAGGCGGCAGGGCCTTCTCCTAGCCCTGAGCTGCCTGCCATGCGTCCTCCTGGGGCTCGGGCTGGGCTCGGACGCCCTCTTCACCCTGACGCCCCCGCGCCACTGCCGGGACGCCAACGGCACCAGGCTGCCCGAGAACACCACCTGCGAGGACCCCCGCTGCCAGCGCTGGGATTACGGGGGGCTCCCAGCCCTCACCAGCAACCCGGTGACCGAGGTGAGCATCCTCCTGCACCAATGGCCTTTCCCAACGCACTTCCCCGGAAACTGGTCTGTTAGAGCGGAGGCGATAGGATCCAAGGAACGCTGCTTCGGATCCCTGGGAAGCTGACACCTGAGCTCATTTCCAGAGGTGGTTTCTGTATTCCGGACTGATCAACTTCACGGGCTTTTTTGAGCTCCAGGAAGGAACGGGGAGTTCCCACTAAACTGCCCATTGCTGGCCCCTTGCGCTCATGCCCGTGCTTCATTCTCGCTCCCCTGCGGCTGAGTGTTTAACTTTGCTCAGGGCCCAGACCATTATCCAGAGTGTGCCTCTGCCCTTGAACATGTGAAACAATGAGGGAAAGCATCCCTGAGCATAAGCAAGCTGCCTTTCCTGTGATTCATTCAGGAATTAGCAATGTCCAGGCATTAATTAGTATGCTCCCTTTGCTTGTAAACATCATACAATTGTTTATTACTGGCACCCCCAAGGCTGAATTGGAACCAGACCACAGTGCCCTGCAACATGGAAATAAGGCGAGGGAGAGTACCTCTGAGCATGTGTAGAAAATTCCCCCCCCAACTAGATCCTGCAACCCAGGATTAGAGAACAACCATGTGGATGCAGGCCAGAGGTGGTAGCTCTCTTTTCAGAAGTTTGCCCACCTGTCCTTCCAGCTCTTCTGTCCAAGGATGCGCCCATCCTTGAGCGGTTCTGCGTTATCTTTTGTCTGTGGAGTTACCCAGTATTCCTCGCACTTCCCCTTCCGGTCTCTGTATCTCTGTTTCTCCAGTGGTCCTTGGATTGCTCTCGAGGTTGGATTGTCCCCTTGGAGCAGCTTTGCTTTCTTCTGGGCTTTGCCGTGGGAGTCCTCCTGCTGGGTTACCTGGCGGACAGGTAAGTCAGAGGACAAGGACTAAGCGGTGGGGGCAGGAGGCAGTGGAATCTGAGAAAGGAAGAAGAGATGATCAAGGCAAGTCAGAAGGTCAAGGTTCTAGACCTCACGCTGCCACGAAGCTCACTGACCCCCGGCTCCAGCCAGCTCCGCTCATGACATGCCTACCCTGTGCCTGTCCTTGGACATCCGCACCGATGGGGCTTCAGCCACCTCCTGTGGAAGCCTGTTCCATACCCTCGGAGTCCTGATTGTCAGGAAATACCTCCTGGCATCCAAATTGAACCTTGGCTAACATCAGCGTGGCTAGTCCCTTATGCAGGAAAAGGTGGGGCGGGTACAGAATGGCCGTGGAGTAACCTCTCAGCCTCTCTGTCCTTCGTCCGCAGTGTGGGCCGTCGTGGCACCTTGCTCCTGGCACTTGCTCTCGGTTGCCCTGCAGGCATCTTGGCCGCATCCGCGACCTCTCCCTCAGTCTTCATGTTGGGCCGCTGCCTCTGGGGGGCAATGCTGGGGGGGATGCAGCTTGCCCTGTATCTTAACCGTGAGTACCTTTTTGTAATCTTACCTGAGCGTATCTTGTTGCCATTGCCTCACATCTGTGGTTTCCTGCCTTTCCACATCTGGGGACCAGCGAAAACAGGAGAACTGCTCTGGGGACTGCTGAGGCAGAAGCAAAAAGCACCATGCACATAAAGCAGTGTTCTGTGTATTAGTTTCCAAACACAATGCCAAACAATGAACATTCTCCAAAACAACCAGAAACTGAGCAACCAAAAAAATGCCAAGAAAACAGCAAAATACAGAAATTGGCACAGCCTTGCTCCCAGCTGGCTCTCACCAAGACATCTCTCCCCTCCCCAGCCCCGCCTCTGGTGCCACCGGTGCGCCCCCCACAAACGCAATGCCAACCGAGGAAGAGGTGGTAGAGCTCAGTCAGCCCCCATGGTGCTCCGTGGCGAGCAGGATGTGGTCCATGAAAACCACTGCCTTAGATTAACTTCCTTGCCATTTTTTTTCTCTCCCTGGGTTGCAAAGTGGAATTAGCCTAATTAGGAACCAGTTAGAAGCTCACATCAAACTTTCAGAGAATCTCTGGTGAAGTCCTTTTGTGGAGATAAGGCAGCTTTTGGACTGTTCTCTGTATTCAGCATTCAAAATCTGGGGGTTTCTCCCTGGCTTTTTAGAATTGTGCTCATTATTTGTTTTGTAAATGCTGGGTTTCTTTTCAGCACAATTAGTAAAAAAAAAATAAAAATCCCCTTGCTCTTTGCTTTTCCAGCAGCTGTTGTATTCCCTTACTTTTAAATTACTCCATTGTTTATTGTTCTATTTGCGTTTGGGAATTCTGGGAGCTGCCTTGAAAATAATGAAGATGGGGGGAAAAAAAAAGAGGAAAGGAATGTCCTTGGATTGCAAAATCGGTGGAAGTCAAACAAGCCCGACGGGAATACGTGCAGTTTGGAAAGAACTGAAAGCTGCGGTGTCTGATCTAATGCATGCTTCAACAAAGGCAAGGTCCAACAATTCCCAGCACGCTGGGAAGTGGCTTCCTAGTGCCTAAATATGCATCTGCTCGCACCTTTATTTACAGACTAGAAACATGCTTCTGGTCACTTGGTTGGTTCATTCTTTCTTAGGTTTGGAGTTGTGTTGTCCTCCACAGCGGCTGCTGGTCGCCATGGTGGGAGACCTGGTCACGGTGGGGGGCCTTTTCCTACTTCTGGGACTGGCTCTTGCGTGCGGAAGTTGGCAGGTCCTGCAGGGCGTGATCTCGGCTGGCCTGGGCCTTTGCTTGCTCTATGGGTAAGTCAGAAGCTGCATCGGTGGGGAGTCTCCAGCACCCTTCTGGCTGAGCCTGTTCTTTTCTCAGCCAGCACAAATTCGGCTTGCAGATTTTCACTGCCTTGGCCTATAGCAGGAGTGGCCAAATTTGGGCCGTCCAGGAGCTGTCTTCTCCCGTCCCCTCTGGGTGCCGACTATCAACAGACAAGCACACCTGCCCACATTAGCCATGGGGGAGCATACAAAGGGCCAGGACTAGCTTGTTTCAAAGCTAAGTCAACCCCTTTGGTACTACGGCACCTCAAAGGAGCCGAATGGAGTTGTAAACAAGTTAATATTGACCCCTTTGATTGCTTTTTTCCCTGAAAGCAATTCTTTGAACTATTTTTGCTTAGTTGGGGCACTGGTATGTCACACAGAAAAGGGGTGACCTCCAGCACCCTCTCTTTGTGGGTTCAAAATAGTGCCTGGGAGGTTAGACCCCAGTTGTCTTTCACAGCTTCCCTGGACTTAGATTCTCGACCTGGTTGCTTTTCTTTGATTACCAGTCTGCTGTCTGGGAAGAGAGGGTTTTAAAGCGGGCTGTAATCCCCGGAGGAGTGAATTCTCTCCTTCAGCAGTGTCTGGTGTGAAGACATCCTTCCTTGGATCCCCCACCAAGCAGCTTCACAGGATCACCCCTTCGGGTTCTGTTCAGTCTTTATCAGTGTTTCTTTTTGGGGAATCTGTATCTCAGCTATCGCCTAAAAATAGTTGAGGTGTCTAACATAAACCAAAGCAATAATTCAGCAAACCCAAAAGTGTTTATAAAGCAAGGAATGTCACAAATATTTGTTTGTAAAAACAGACAAGCGGGTCAGGTGTGTTTGCAGTTTCTTTGTGCTCCAGCAAGTCCATTGTCAAAAATGCAATCTTGCTGCCCCCTGAAAGATGTACCAGACTGGAAATATAGCCAACTTCCCTTGCATGCTTTGGTACTTCAACAAACCAGTCCGTGTTCCTACCAGCCCTCTCTGGGAACCCCTCCCGGCCGGTCTGGGTTGGGTAGAAACGAGGCCACTGCTGGCCAACCTCTGCCTAGCAGTTTCCAGTCACTGGGATCCATCATTTCGGGTCGACCTCACAAAATGCTTTGCAGTTTCTCAAGTGCTTGACCCAACTGAATTATAATTCAGCTGAGGAACTGAGCTTCGTAGAACACATCTTGCCCCCAATCCTTGCGGTAGGGTTTGGAGGGGGTGTGTCCCTTTAAGACCCAGCTCTTTCCCCCTCCGTTCCTTCTTAGGTGTCCTGGATTGTACCCTGAGTCACCCCGTTGGCTCCTAGCCACCCGGCGAACGACACAAGCCAAAGAGATTCTCCTAAACCTGGCCCAGGGCAGCAACACGCAGGAGTCGGAGGCGCAGGCGGCGCTGGAGGGTGAGTCCCGGAGGGCTCCAGGTGGCCTCCGACGAGTTGGGTTGCCTCCACCCCCCGTCAGGCGTGTTGAGCCAGAACCTTCCATCTCCTGGAAGCTGTTGGGGGCTGCACTCTGGTGGTGGAGTCAAAGGCAAAAGGGTCGGAAGTACTATTCCAAAAATGCCAGGGTATTTTAGCTGCAAGCCCTTCCTGCCAGTAACTTGACCTTAGGAGAAGCCTTTCAACCTTTTAGAATGAGCAAAGAACACGTGCAAAGGACAGAAAAGGGGGTGGGGCTAGGAGAAGGGGCGTGGCCTAGGGGGCACTGGGATGCAATGACTGTCCTGAGTTTCAAGACCCCCGATTTGCAGCCTTCCTCCCCTAAAGCAAATGTAAACGCAATATGTCAAGGGGTTGTGCGACTCTAGGTGCCGCTCTGATGAGATTCCCTCCCTTTCCTCCGCTCTCCTCCTCCTCCTCCCGCTACTTCCAAAGAGCTCGACAATGCCTCTCACCTGCCTGCGGCCGCCCAGATCTCACTCTGCGCACTCTTGTCCTGCAGAAACATCTGGAAAAATGTTCTCATCCTTGGTTTTACCACGTGAGTCAACCCTTCCTCATCCCCGAGTGGGAAGAGAGTGGGATAAATAGGGGGTGGGGGGAGGTGTGAGCACTGGACAAGGGGGTGCTATTCCAAGGACGGGAGGGGGCTGGTCTGTGAGATGCCCCCAAGATCCTGCGATCCTCTCTCTCTGATCTGCTCTTTTAAAACTTTTAAAGTTACCGTATTTTTTGCTCTATAAGACGCATTTTCCCCACCTCAAAAGTAAGGGGAAATGCCTGTGCGTCTTATAGAGTGAATATGTCTGCGCAGTAAGTCTATCAGATGGGGAAGTGATGGGGAATGTGCCTGTGATTATGTGCCCATTTGATTCAGAATATTTTTTTTCTTGTTTTCCTCCTCTAAAAACTAGGTGCGTCTTAGGGTCAGGCGCGTCTTATAGAGCGAAAAATACGGTACCTTTGGGAGTTGCAGCTCGTGATCACCCCGGTCTTCTTCCTCCGCTGCTCTTATTTCATACTGCCCAGTACCCAGTGCTCTCTGGGCAGCTCCCAGGAGCTCAAAGTCACACCTCCGGTTGCTTTGACACGTTCTCTTATTTGCAGCTGTTAGAGAAAAGTGAGGTGGTAATGGGGTTTTGTTGTTGCCGCCCGGCGCGTTTGCAGATTCATTGCCCACGCCATCTGCCACTGCTACCAGCTGGCCTGGGCATCCCTGGACGATCCGCACACCACGTTCTACCTCTCCTACTTCCTCTCGGCCGGCAGCGCGGGCCTGGCCTGCCTCTTCCTGTGCCTGAGCGTGGACCGGTACGGGCGTCGCGGGATCCTGCTGCTCACGACCACGCTGACGGGCATCGCCTCCCTGATCCTGCTGGGCCTGGGAGAATGTAAGGGCGCCGGGGCTTGCTGCGTGCCATCCCGTGGGAGGGCCTGCCCAGGTTGTGGGGTTCTGCAGGCAGCCTTGTCGGGATGCGCCTGCACTTCGGTGATGCTGTCGAGTGTGCAGAAGGGCAATAAAACGGTCACGGGGGCTGGAGGAAGGTGAAAATAACGTTTTGTTTAAATGTTTTATTTAAATAACGTTTTTCTTTAAACGTTATTTTAATTGTTGAATTTATTTATTGATTTTATATGTATGCCGGGATGTCTCCAGATTTTTATGTATTTGTAGAGTTATTTATTTGTATTGGAAGCCGCCTCGAGGCTTTTGCGAATGGGGCGGCATGTAAGTGTTCCAAATAAATAAATAAAATAAAAAGAGGTGAGGAAAGGGAGACAGGATAGGGGGTTTAAAATAATGCCTGGTTTGGACAAGGTTTTCTCCCTCCTGTAACGCTTGAACCCAGGGTCACTGCATGAAGCTGATAGGTGGGAGGTTTAGGACAGACAGAAAAAAGGAAGGCCTTCACACAGTGTGTAGTGGAACTGAAGGAATTCTCTGCCACGGGGAGTGGGGATGGTCACCAATGTGGACAGCTTTCCAAGGGGAGTGGGCAGGTTCCTGGGGGAGGAGGCTATCCGTGGCTGCTGGCCTTGCTGGCCGTGGGCCCACTCCTTCGGCGAGGGTGCCGTTCCTGCACGCCCGGTTGCTGAGGAGCTCGGCCAGGAGAAGGCCTTGCACCCGTCCTGCTGGAGGGGTCCTGTGCACAGCGGGTTGGCCACTGTTTGCGCAGACGGCGGTGCCTGGGCCTAGTCCAGCCGGGCTTCTCTGTCGTGCTTATGCTAATAAGAACACAGGAAGACCTCTGCTGAATCCTGGAACGGCATGCCACTTCCACCTGTTTCAGTTCCCCAGGTGGCCGCATGCTTCTCCTGGCTCCATCCCTTCCCCCCCGTCCACAGCTGTCCGTGGTTTGGTGTTTTCTTGACAGGTGTGCCTTTGTTTACCTTTCCAAAAGGTGGAAAGGCCTCTTCCTGGGAGGAAGAGAGTGACACAAAACCTTGGGGATCTTTGCCCTGCTCCCCCTTTGGCTCAGCCCAGCCCTGGGCTCCCACCTTGGTGCTGAAATGCTTTAGGCCAGGTCTGCTGGGTCCGGACAGCCGCATCAAGGTGGGGCCCATTCCCCTGCAACTTCGGCCTTTTCAGTGCTGGTCTGCTTTTCTCCCTCGCTGTTGCAGATCTCAACGACGCTGCGCGGAGAACGTTCTCCATCCTTGGCCTGTTTTCCTCCCATGCGGCAGGTTCGCTTAGCATCTTCTTTGCCTCAGAGGTCATCCCCACCGTAATCAGGTCAGGCTGTAGAAACGTTCTGTGGCTGTGCGACGGGGGACTCTGGGTTGATCGGGGAATAGATGCCGCTTTAGAAACCTACCCTAGCTTTGATCAAGCTGGGACCTTCTAGAAGTGTTGGACTGCAGTACCCATCATTCCCATGCTGGCTGGGAATGATGGGTGCTACAGTCCAACACATCCGAAGGGCTCTTCTACCCATGCGTATCCCCTTCCTAACCTTCCAGCTTGCATGCTGCGTTCAGCTGACACTCAGCTGTACTCCCCCCATCCTTTGTATCTTCAAGCTTCTAGCCCTCAGTGTTTGCCTTTTGCCACTCTAGAATCTCCCCTTATTTTTCCTTGTCACTGACTTGCCCTCATTCTCTGAATCTACTGCAAGATCATGGCTGTGTGTTTTTGGCAATCATGCCATGAGTTCGACATTCAGATAGAATTTGGCCTTGTGAAAGCTGTGTTGCCGAGAACATTTTGTCCACTTTCGAGTCCTTAAGGCTGGGAACACGAGCTCAAGAGCCCACAGTCGCGGCTTGTTGAAATCTTTGATGATGAGGGTGGGACAGACTGACGGGAGGCAGCTGCGAGATTCTTCTGGTGGCTCAGATCCCCAGTTTCAACATCCTGGCCCACAGTTTATCGCACCTCAGGACTAACGCAAGTTAGAATGCAGTGTTCCTGAGGCCGAAGTCCTTGTGTACTTTATTCAGGTGCCATGTGCTCCGAGGTCGTTTTAATGGGAGTAATTAAAGAGGTTCATTATTAGCAGGGTAACTGTGTGCTCATGGCCGAGTTTTGGCCCGTTAGCTCAGGATAACACCTGCGTGAGTCTCTCAGGACGCCGGATGACCCCTCTGCGGTTTGCCTTGTGTAATGGAGGCCGTTCTCTCCGCAGGGGGAAAGGCCTGGGCGTCATCCTGGCGCTGGCCTCTCTCGGGGGGCTGAGCGCGCCCCTGCTCCAGCTGCGCGAGCGGCACGGCTCATTCCTGGAACACATCGTCCTGGCCTCCCTCAGCATCCTGGCCCTCCTCTGCCTCATGCTGCTACCCGAGAGCAAGCGCAAGGCCCTGCCCGAAGGTCTCCGCGACGGGGAGCTGTACCGGAGGCCCTCCCTGCTCCGCCGGGCCGGGGGCTCCGAGGGCCGGGACGCCGAGGGGTTGACCCGGCGCGACGACGTGCCCTTGCTCTCCACCCCGAACCCTGCCAGCTGACGTGCCTGCCCCAGGACCCCCGGCCGGGCCTCAGCAAGCGTGGCCTGGGCCTGGGCCTGGGCCTGGGCCTGGCCTGCAAGCCGCGCCAAAGCTCGGTTTCGGCGACGGAGACCGTCCTGCAGCCCTCCCCAGACTCTCGTGGGTGGGGAGCTGTGGGGAGAGGTGAAGCCCAGCCAGCTGAGTGCAATAAAGTCTTGGGATCTTTTTGCAGAGCCCCCCGTTGCTTCTCTAAGCTCCCCACCCACTCAGCTTTTTGGCGTCTTCCCTCCATTTTAACAAGCAGAAGAGAGGGAAGCCCCACCTGTTGGCTTTCTGCCTAGCAGGTGTTAAACGTGCAGGAACTGTGCCAGCAGAGAAGTGCCAGCAGTAGGAGCTTGTTTTCCTGTCTCTACATGTGTCTGTTTTTTATAAAGAGCGAGGTTATACTGGACCCACTCGTAAAATTCTTGATGGAGTCGTGCGATTCTTCTAGGAACGGTTCTGCTGCCCCCCTGCCTGTTTTTCCTCCTCGACTGTCTTGGTGGTCCTAACCAGCCCCGACCCCTCAAGCTGAGAGCGAATAACCACCCATTTTACAGAGTCAGGAAACTGAGGCCAGAACCGACTCCCCAGACTGCTTTTTTACAGGGACAAAGCTTTCAACCTATGAAACCTATGCACTCCATTCTGCCGTCGTCTCAGTCTACAAAGGGCTCGTCATGTCTTCTGGGCTGGTTCCCACCAGTGCCCCAAAATGGGACCCAGGACCTTCGGAATCCTTGAAAGAGGCGATTGTTCAAGCGGAGCTGGGCTGGATGGCCGAAGCACTTCATGGCTGTGCTCGTCGCCGACATTCTTTCCCAGGTCTGCATAAAACCATTTGCCCGTTTGCTGTGCATGGGATGGCCACAGGCTTGCTGGCAGACGCTGATGCAGCGACTCCTTGCACCCTGGACCGTTACCCCCTTTCCAGTCACGTAACCACCTGGCTGCCTCTTGCAGCTGTGTGGAGGCGGAATTTAACCAAGGGAAAGCCGGTCTTGTTGAATTTCTTCCCTCAGAGACATGAAACCTGCTGCATTTTAAACACGAGGAACTAAAAAAAGCCCTTATTTTCTCCTCCAACGCCAACACTTTTTAATACATGTAGCATGAGTACAAACAGAACCTCATCAGGTACAACCCGTTACTCCACTCTGGGCAAATTATATTATCGCCAACAGGAAGCTATTTGAGGTTGGAAGAAAGGAATGAAAACGAGCCACCGAGAGACCTCAAGTGTTCCAAAAGGCAACTCACACTAGAACTTCAAGAGACTCTTGGCTGCTTTTTACCCTAAAGGGAATCTACCGACTGTTCATAAGCTAAATCAGATTAAAGAAAATTTCTTCTTGAGAAACCTTTGCTTTGCCAGAGAGCGTTTATTAGGCTCTGCCAGAAACAGTCACGTGGCATCAAAGGACTTAGCCTTACCTTTTATCTGGCACATTTCTTAAAAATGCAAATTGCTTAATAGCTTTAGATGTCCTTGGAGGGGCAAGTCACCCATTTACCTCACTCATCGCAGGAGCGCATGCATCCATGGGGACTTGAAGGGATTGTGTTTAACCTTTGGGAATTTGATTGCCCAAGTTTCTAGCCCTGATGGAAGAAAAGCTGGCCAGCTTATTGGGTACCCTAAATGGACCAAATTAGGTACTATATAGGCATTTGGCAGGCAGATTCAGGCTTGAATCAGGTAACCCTCGTGAAGTTCCCCTGCCCAGCAGGCATACCTGCTTCCTCCCTCTTTTGGTAGCTTCTGGGCCTTGCAGGCTTCTCCCCTTAGAGGCTTAAGTGACTGGTGTGTGGAAACCCAATTTATATAATTGCCTCCATTTTATACTTGACCATGAGGCATGGCAGCCCAAACTCACCCAGTATGGCCCAGAATTTCCCAATCCAGCACCTCGACTGCTACACCACACATTAAAATGGGTTTTTATGTTTGTGCCCCCCAAGGTGGCTGCAGGGACAGTGGGAATGGCAGCAACCTCCAAGTGGAAAGGGGCCCGTGGGTTTAAGGGTTTCCCAGCCCAGCTTTAAAGGCTCCAGGCTCCTGCAGGCAGATAATCCTGTGGCAAACGGATTTGTTACCCTGGAACGGTGAAGGCCAGTGGGGCGCCATGGCATGGAGGCCCAGAGAGCTGTGCCCTCTTCCTGATCTGGAAAGGCGCACGATAGCAGCAGCTCTTTCCTAGCGCTACTCCAGGTGTGTGCCTCCTTCCTGCAGGTAGGCAGGTACCCGCAGGTAACACTGCTGTCAAATCAGAGGCGTCGTTTCTTACTAAATCACTCTGGCAATTTTGGATTAACCTGACTGAGCAGCTGTATTCCAATAAAAAATGCAACCCAAGGACACCCAGAAGGATGCTTTATATTTGTACATGATGAGAAAAAAAGAATCACTCTCACCGGTTTCTTCCAAAAACATCTTTTATTTTTTTTCTGCCCTCATAACATGTTATTCTATTTCTCCCTCTTCACCCTCCCCACCCATCCTGAACTTTCCCCCCTTTTTTTCTCCCCTCTTTTTTTTTTTTTTTTTTTTAACTCATTCTCCCACATGGAAATATGGGCCTGATTCCTCCCAACACCCACCAAGTCCCCAAGGGAGTCCTCTCTCCCCTGCCCCCTGGTCTCTAGAGCTTCAGTTTTCGGTGATATTTCTTCAGGCTAAAATAAAGGAACCTGTAAAGATAAAGACACTCAAACAAGGCATATAACATACCCCAAGGGAAGTGTGGCAGGGGAGGCAGTGAGGGGCAAAGAGCAAAAGGAAATGAGGCGGCACGGAGGGGCAACGAATTTCACGGGAAACGGCCCGACCTGTTTTAAAGCGAAGGTTTAGGTATACAACTCCATCTGAGCAGTGGGGACCGGGGCTTTTAGACAGGGGAGGGTGATTAAAAAAAAAACCAGGAAGGATTCCCTGCCTGACCCCACAGTAGGATGCTGAAAGACTTGAGTCTGTCAAAGTGAGAAAGACAAGCGTACAGTGACGGGGGGGGCGGTGTTCCAGGGCTCCTGTAAAAAAAAAAGGAGGAAGTATTCCCCGCCCGACCCCAGAGGAGGTGGCAGAAAGACTTGGGTCGGAAAAAGGGAAAAAGACAAGCGAACGGGGGGGGGGGGGGGGGGGGGAGCCACATCGCAACAGGAGCCCTGGAACACCGCCCCCCCCCCGCTAATTCACTGGGGTGGGGGAAATGTAAGAGAAGCAAATTAGAGCTGGGAAAAACCAAACACACCAACGCTCACACACGTGCAGCCACGCAGTGCACACAGGGGCACAAGAGGAAATGGGCGGGGTGCAGAGGGAACAAAATCACCACAAAACGCACAAAAATGCAGTGATTTGGGGAAGTTGGCAGCCCTCCAAGCCCACCCCAAAACTGCTCCTCAGATTGCAGGCAACACTACAGACGTGGGAGGAAGAATGGACCAGTTATGCACGACAATCTGCAGATGGAAGGGAAAGGAAGATGGGGAAGGCGGCGGGGTGGAATCGGCAATACTAGTAGTGGGGGGAAATTTAACAACAGAATGCCCCCCCCAACATTTATGTCTTCCCCCTCCCATATGTCAACCCTCTTTCTCTGCACAGCATTAGACACATTCTCCTCCCACCAACAGTATTTTTTTTTTCCATCATGGTAACAATCTTCATTTTTTTTCTTTTTTTTTTTTCCTCCTTCCTAAAACAACTATTTTTTTGTTTTGTTTTGTTTTTAGTAAGGGGAATACCATGAGGTCGCTCTGGCCCGGCCCCTGTGGAGAGAAGAAGAAAGCAGGTTAATGGAAGGGATATGAAAGAATAGCTAAGTAACTCAAAGCCCAAAGAAGATCCCAGAGTTGGAAAAGGCCTCAGTTGTGAAAACCTGGCAGGCTTCAGCCCCAGAAGCTCAAGATGAGCATGTTTTGTTCTTTATGAGCCCAGTCCCCAAAGGGTTCTACACTTCTTTCTAGCTCAGAGAGGACAATCCACAGAAGGAAATTCTAAGAAGCACCTGACGCTCTTATGGAGAGCCCACAATTGTGAACTGTGGGAATCTGAGGAATTTTCACTGTTTGTTAAGTACTGGAAATAGCGAACAGACCAAACTGAAAACCCGGGTGGGCGCTTTCTCCTTCAGTGCCCCAATTCACGCCCGATTTGAACTGTTCTTTTCCACCTGACGGTTGTTTCTGCGCTTAGACTGTCTTTGGCCAAAACGAGTGGCTGCAGCTCCCAGCCCACCTCTTTCGCTTGCCATGTTGCTTTCGGCCCCGGGCAGCCAGGAATTCTGCCGCCTGCTCTTAATGCAGAAGCCCGTCTCCAGCCGTGCGCAGCCCACCTCCTTTGTGCAGCGCTGCCCCCGCACCCCCAGCCCAACGACAACAGTGGGTCAGACCTGTAAGCGCGCCCTCGGGGCGGCCTGCTGCTGAAGCCACTGTAGAAACGGGCCCGGGAACTGCTGTAGCCGGATCCTCTCCCTCGGTACCGGGTCCGGGGGAAGCCCCGGTCTGTGGTGCTGATCCCAGGGCGGTTGGTCCGTTTGGGAATCACCTTTGGAAAGGACGAGACAGCTTGACGGAAGAGGCTGTTCAAAACCCCTCTGCCAACCATTCAGCCGCCGTCGCGGTCTATCCCGAAATCCCACAATCCTGGAGTCCCGCCCTTTCCTGCTTGCTTCCCCTTGGCCCAGCCCCAAGGAAGTTAACCTTCACATAAAGGTTCAACCTTCACATAAAAAGCTAAGACCTTTTTATTCAAACAATATTTTAACAATGTTTAATATTTATAGGTTTTAATTGTGCAGCAGGGGTGTTTCCGGGTTTTAACTGTATTTGACTTATATTTATTATTTGTGTGAGCCGTTCCAAGGCTATATAGCAAGGGGACGGCAAAAACTTTGAATGAATGAATGAATGAATGAATGAATGAATGAATGAATGAATGAATGAATATGTGCTTCAGAGGCCGAGAGAATCCCCGTACACACCTTGATCTGTCTTCCCCTGAAGAGGGACTCGTCTAATGCTAGGGAGGTCCGCACCGACTCCTTGTCCGAGAATTCAATGTAGGCGAACCTTTGGGGAAAGCCAGGGAGAAGGGTCAGCAACGGAGAAGCTGTCTGCAGCTTCTGCTGTGGTGCTGAGCCGGGTCTTGTTCTCGCCGGTTCTTGGGTGCGGCGCCCTGAGGGCTGCTGAGGGGCTCTCAGGCGGAACAGAGACAAAGCCGGCCCGGTCACACCAGACTCACCCCTTGGGGTGACCAGTGTACTTGTCACAGAGGATGGTGACCCGGTTGACGGAGCCACAGCCGTGGAAGTGGGCCTCAAGCTCTTCGGCTGTCGCCCCGTAATCCACCTGGAAGAGATGATGCGCGGCATGAGGCGACGAAGGGGCGTCTTTGCCTCCCTGATAAAGTGAGGATGAGGTGGGGGGACACTTACATTGCCTACATATATGGATCTGGCATCGGCCTCCATCTTTTCTTCTAAAGACATGATGACTGGACCAGCTGTGGAAAAAGCAGACGCCTGAGCAGGGAAAACCGGGACTGGAACCTTTCACAATGATTCTGGTTCCCAGGAAAGATTTACAAAGGCCCTCCTCTTGGGAAGGCAGCTCCACAGGATGCTCAAAAGCAAGTTGGAAAAGGTACAATACCGGATCAAGTCATTACATTTCTGAGCTTCAAGGTGCTGTGTAGCGAAAGGACATCTCAAGAGATACCAGAAAGCATTCTCTCCACTGAAATTCGCAGCATTTCACAGTGGCTTTAATCTATTTCCGTACAGCGGTTTTACACGTGCTGCTTGTAAGACTTCTGTATTTACATTTGTATGTAAACCCCTCACAGGCCGGACTCCACTTGAGAAGCAGGTTCGATGTTTAGAAATAAGCTCAGCGGCCACGAGCAACGGCCTTATCCTCCAAACAGTGATCTTGGTAAGACAGCTCTGGTTTGCAGCCGTGAATTCTGAAAGCCGACCGGGCACTGAATCAAGTGGGAATAGAGAACAGCTCCTGTGGGCTGGAGAAAAAGGGGCTGCCCCCATGTTCCTTAGCACCCCCCATCCTTGATGATGCACTTCTGTTTTACAAAAGGCACCCACAAGCTTCACCAGCTCCTCCGAAGCTCCACTGATTATTCCCATTATGCAACTAATTAAAGCTTCCAAAACGGCAGTAGCAGGGGAAGGAAGGAAAGAGGAGGTGGCAGCTCAAAACCCTCAGCTGAACAACTTTGACATCATAGGAATGGAAAACCCAGAAAGCTCCTGTGACATTTTTCCATCCCAACACCTGAACACATCACCCCTTCTCTAGCATACCGTTTTTCACCTCTCATTTGGATAAGAGACAGCGCAATCGTAAAATAGGACTCCAGCCTTTGGACACACCTGTTTCATTACTTGTATTTATACAACACCTTTCTATCGTGCAGGGGTGGGCAATAAGCAGCCCCCCTCCAGCCATGGCAGCAACATCATTTGTGGTGCCAAAATATTACCTGATTGGCCACCCAAAGACAGCAGCACCACCACGGGATGCCAGGAAATAGAAACATAGAAACAGAGCGAGTCAGAAGGGGTCTCCCGGGCCATCTAGTCTGACCTCCGGCACCAGCCGGCTCCGCTCACGACATGCCCACCATGTGGACATCCAGCCTATCCTTGAACACCCGCACCGATGGGGCTCGCTTTCAAATCCAACCCTTGAGAGAATTTTACCGGGAGGAGCAGGAGGGCTGCAGCCCATGGTGGGGGCGGCTCCGAAACCTCCTGAAGTTGCACATCCCTCCTTTAAAGCTAAATTAAATAACCTCGCACACAACGCAGCAAAACAGAAGAAGCAAAACCACATTAGCAAGTGTGTGGGCTAAAATAATGGCGTGAATTCATTTGACTTTCCTTCAGAGCCTGTTTTCCTACAGCGGTGGCATATTTAAAATTACACAATGCAGAGTCATAGAACAGAACCAGTGGTTTGGAGATGGACTAAGCACCCCACTTCCTTCCTAGATTATTTTTTGCCGCAAGGGCCGCCAGAGTCGTGAAAGGGATTAAGTTCGTGAGCCAAGGTACCACTGTACTGATGTTTTATTTTGCTGTTGCGTTCTTTTGAAAATATAAGACCGTAAATAAAGGGGAAAAGTCTCTTCCCTCCTAAATTAGCCTGCTGGGAAAATGCAGAAGGAAAGTAGGAGTGTGTCTTTATGCAAAAGACCTTGCGGGGTTGGCTTTAGCACTTATTGTACCTTCCTGGACTCAGCACACGCCCAGGAAGGTGCTTGTCCCGTAATTCTTACAGCATGTCAGGCTACCTTTGGACCTCGGTGTTCCAGTAAAGCAACAGCAATCCTACAGTGCTGACATCTGCCCACCCTCGCCCGAGAACACCCACTGGTGACGTCACACCCCTCTGCCATACATGTTGAGGCAGACAGCAGCTAGAGCCACCTCTCTGCTCACCCTCCAAGGTGCATGAACAGGTAGGGTGGGCTAAAAGGGCCCCCCGGAGGGGATTCCAAGCACCCAATCCCACCTAAGCTCCCAATTCTCTTAACTGCAGGGGAAGGTGGCTTGCGGTCATCCTCTTCCGCTCTGCCGCTTGCACAGTAATCGTTCTAGTTCTGAGCCATACCTGGACTTCACCACAGCACCCGAGCTTGCAAAGGATTTTAATACCGATCTTTGCAATCTGACGTGCGCCAAGACCGAAGCACAACTGAATCCTCATTTCCAGCCCTGCACAACACTGCGGCGGCCAAGCGCCACGCCGGTGCAGCTTCAGCAGCTCTTGCGTCTGGGTGATACTCTGCTCATCAGTTCAGCTGGCCTTGATCTTAGTCCTCAGAGCTTCTCGGACGGCTTCGACTTACCACAGCAAAGCTGTGACTACCAGACAAAGTACAACCATGGAAGCCTGCCCGTGCTAACCGAGAGCGGCATTTTGCCCCACGTTATGGCACCGGGTGGGAAACGGCCTTAGCTCAGAGGGACGGCGCAAGCGCCACAGACACACGCTGCCGGCCCCGATCCCTTGCTCCTCCTGCAAGGCCCAAAAGCTCTCTTATCAGAAGTCCCAGAGAACAAGCGCTGAGCTAGTGACCATGCCAGGCCATGTTCAACCATTTTGGGTGGAGTCATTCCACCCAATTCACTGACATTTCAGTCGTGCGGCCGTACCCCCGTGGGGACCGCTCGTGTCCTGTCAGCCACCCAGGATGCCAGCATGCCGGGGTCTGGTTCAGGATAGAGGCAGCCAGCAAACGGTTCAATCCCCCAAGAACAGCCGTGCACCTCCTCACACTGGGTCAGCGCTTAATGCTGACAGTCCTTCCTGTGCCTGGACTTAGTGAAACATCCTTTATCTTATTCCTACCGTGTCATGCCTCCAGAGCCAGTTTCAAGACAGATCTATGTTGTTTGGACAGACAAAATTTAAAAGCCTCAAAGTTTCCGCGAGCAACCCTCTGCCCTCAAACACGCAAGGCAAAGATGGCCCCATCTCATTTAGAGACACCCTGCACTAAAGTCTCTTGGCAATTCCACACAATCCCAATATGCTGCTACTTTGAGGCGCTGAATACTCGAAAGAGCAGAAAGGAAATCCAGAGGGAGAGAGCAGGTGAAGACGGGGGGCTCACCGTTGCCAGGAGGGGGGCTCATGTTCATTTGTTTTTCTACTTCGTTCTGCAGCTCTTTCAGCTTCTCGGCTTCTTCCTCCATCTCTCGCACTCTAGCTTTAATGGCTTCCAGTTCCTGGGTGAAGACAAGGGTATGCAGGGCAAGCAGGGAGCCAGTTAGAAAATACAGAATAGCTTTTACGAGTCTCACCCAGACTCTTCCTTTGCCCTGCTATTCTCCAAGACACATCACTTTTCCCCTCAACATACAAGACATTTTTCAGCCATCTATCCCCATTCAAACATTTATAGTAACTCAGGACTGAGAGCCAGTGAGGTAAAGTGGTTGGAGCAAACTGGATTGGCACTTAGGAGATCCAGATCCTAGTTCCCACTTGACCATGAAGCTGATGGGGTGACTTTGATGCCGTCACTGATTCTTAGATTAACCTACCTCACAAGTCTGCTGTGAGAATAAAATGAAGAGGATTATGTAAGCCAAATCAGGTTCCATGCAGGACAAAGATGGGATATAAATATAATAAAACAAAACCAATCTGCCTACACTGGTTTCTCGGGATCTGTCCATGCCAGTTCACCAACCCTAACCCTAGTTCCATAATTTTGGCCCTCAATCCAACCCCGAGATATTATTTAGGATCAGCAGTTACTTCAGGTTATTTAGCAGGCATCCAGTAACAGAAGAGGTCCTCTTATGGATCACTAATTGTTTAAACAGAAAGAAAGTATAAATGGCAATTTTTCCAATGTAAACAGTGGAGTTCAAGGACCGATGCTTTTCAACTTACTCAGACAATCCATAATTAGAAGTGAGCCAAGTTTGCTGACAACCCCACATTTTCCATGGTGGTTTAAACAAAAAGAGGTTTTGCAAAGCTCTAAAAATATACCCAGAAAGGAAGAACGCACATCAAAATGGCAAACATGGCCCAACATAAGCAAGCATAAAGAAATGCAAATTTCATGAACACACCGTAACTGGTGGCAACCAACCAAGAAATAAATCTTGAGGTTGTAGTGGACAACTCAAAAATGAGACCGATTGTGTGACCATGCTGTGGAAAAAAGCAAATTCTATCTTGGGCATAATTAGAAAAATAAACGAAAACACAATACTGCCCTTATATGAAACTCTATAGAGCACCACAGTTGGAATAATGAGCATGGTTCTAATCACCACACCTAAACAAGGAAAATGTTGTAGAGTAGAAGGTTCAGAAAAGGACAACTGAAATGATCAAGAGGCTGGAGTAACTCCCTAGGTAGCTTGGGACTGTTTGGCTTAAAGGGCAAATATGAGATGTGACACAAGCACCAAAAGGGTTCTCTCTCTCTCGCTTGCTTGCAGTATTCGAACCTTCATCATCCCATGAAGCTGAATGATGAAAGATTCAGGAAAGATAAGGAAGGATTTCACATTGTGCACAGTGAAGCTACAGAGTTCGTCTCCACATTCATTTACTGGTAGTGACGGCCGCCCATACCGATGCCTTCAAAAGAGGATTGAACAAATTCATGGAAGAGTTTGACGGCTACTAGTCCTACATTGGGTATGTTTCAGTTTACCAATTGCTGAGGAAAAAATGGTACAGTGGTATTGTATTTTTGCCCTGCTCTTGGGTTTCCCATGGAAAACTGTTTGCGATTGTGTGGACAGAATGTAGAGCCAGTGGGATGTTTTAACTCAGGATACTGCACTGATCAGGACGCTGGACCCTCCAGCCCTTTCCAACTCTATGATCTATTCTGTGATCTTTGGATTAATCCAGCATGGTTCTTATTTCGCCAGCTTCTGCACAGTCCCTTATTTTGGCCTGTTTTTACATTCTATAAAATCTGTTCTAAGGAAACACCCCCACATGATTTGAACTTAACCCAAATCCTACTCACTAACAGCAATTATAGCCCCAGGCAGGAGATACATCACAGGTTCTGAGGTCTTGCCTCAAAACTTTGTGCATCCCATACAAATGATCAGCAGCCTAGCTGCCTCTGACCCAGTTTTCTCAACAGAAACCTAGCCTTGCAAATGAGCATTTCTGAACCTGCAAAATACAAACCCGGCCTTCTCCCCTTTGCCAACCGGTTCCATTTGCAGGAAGGGTGCAGAAGGAACTTTCTTTTTTCCGTCACTAGCCCAGAAGCCCAAGACTGCTCCAAATGCTGCAATCTGCATTTCTTATGTGCAATGCCTAAAGGGACTTCAGGCATTCTTTGTGGCCCCCACCTCCACAGGGTCTTGCCTGTATTACTTGAGCTCTCACGCCCCTCCCAAGAGAAAGAAGACCCACCCAAAGAGAAACACGGGGGATATGTTAAATTTAGGGTAATTTCCCCCCACTTTTCTAAAATCACTGCCTTCCTCAGGAGATATTGGGATGCCAATATGCCTTTTTCTTTTCTGGGGCCCCACCTGCATCACTTCTTTGCTAAAGCCCGATCCACCTTCCCAAAAGCTCAGGCCAGCCTGGGGACCTTTCCCCACTGAACTACCACGCTCTCGCCTCTCTTTCCAAATAACCTTCCCACGAAAACACCGCGGAACAACATCCGCACGGAACAACCACTCCGAGAAAGGGGCCCGGGATCACTCTGCTTGTTTCCGGGACCGAGCAAAGGATCTGAGTTTCCGGCCCACGAACAGCGCTCTGTGCCAGCTTTCCCCTACCGCCGGGACCCTCCGCAGGGGTTAGACCACACACCCAGGGGGGATGCTGGGAGATGTAGTCCAACGCGCTGGGAGAGACCCGAGTTGGGGAGGGGAAGCCCCGAACGCCCATGTGAACCCCGTGAAGACAAATCCTCCGCGGAAGGACTCACCGGGTCTTCGATGGCCGAGTCCCCGGGGTCGCTCTCCCCCAGGCCAGCCTCCTCCTCCAGCTCCTCGGGGTGAGGGTGATGGTGGGCGCCCCCCACTCCCGCCTGGCCTGGCCTGGTGGGAAGCGAGGAGGAAAGGGCGCCCCGGGGGCCGGAACCCCTGCTCCCGCCGCCCGCGCCTCCTCCGCCGCCGCCGCCGCCGCCGCCGCCCGCCGTGGCCTCGAGCAGCAGCTCTTCCTCCTCCTCCTCCTCCTCCAACTCGCGGAGCCCCCCGCCCTGCTCCCCCCCGGGGACGCTTCCCCCCAGCCCGTTCCCGTACTGGGAGGCAGGAGGACCCCCGCCGAGCCCCCCGCCTGGCTCCCCCTCGCCCCCCAAGGCCGCGATGGCCCCTCGCCCGCCGCCGACGCTGCTCGTGCCCCGCACAGACGCCATAGACCCCGCCGCTGCTGCCCGCCGCACTAGCCGCCCGCCGCCGTGCTCTGATTGGCTACGCGCTCGCGGCCGCTCCCATTGGCCCGCTCCACGTCCCGCGGGCCTCCCGGCCATTGGCCAGCCAGCGGCCGCCTTCCTCGCGCCCTCATGCTCCCGAGCCGTTGGTGGAGGTCAAACGCCATTCAAAAGTTTTCTGGCCGCTGATTGGGTAAGAGCGTGCCTGTGCGTCGCGGGGGCAGAAGTTTGCCATGCGGCGTAATGGTTGGTTCTGAAGCGTCTTCTTGTCACCGCCCTGACCGCGCTCTTTTCCGATTGGGTGGCTCACGAAGGATTCCGCCTCCATCTTTCCCGGCGCTGAGCTGAATGGAAGAACTGTACGTCAATCTAGTGGGTACTAGAAAAGGATTGTTCGGTTCATTGAAGAACTAGAGCGTATCAGAGTCATTGGGTAGTTGGCTGAACTTGGTCCGCCTTTTCCGCTTCTGTCTCGATATTTCAATCAACCGTATTGAGATTCATGATTGGCTATATTAAGGATTTTTTTTTTTAATTGGCCGCCGCCACGTGCTTTCTGAATAAAATCAATCATACGCACTGGCGTATTCATTGGCCATCCTACTATGCCTTGAACCAAAGAAGCAAGATACCATTGGATGGGGAACGCTATGCCAATCATGCAGAATAGCTTTTCTATTGGTCAAACCGGAGTTCCTTTCGTTGAACTTAATTTGTAGAAGGAACTTTTGTTCTGCCCTTTTCCCGGAGGCTATTTGAGTCGCAATTTCTGATTGGCTAGTGCTGCTAACAGCTCTATGGCTATTGGAAAGGACGTTAACGGCCCTTCTTGCCTTAATGTTATTGGTCAGTAGCTCCCGGTGGGCTGGTCTTACGGTGGTACAAAGGGCTACAGTCTTAGCAGTTCTGTGTCGCAACTTCGGGTTTCTTGCGGCCTTTGGTAGAATGGGACGGGTACTGAGGCAACGGTGGAACGCATTGCAATTAATAACGTAAAAATGTCATTTTAACGAGCATCATAATAACCAATATAAATAATTCTCATTAGTATAATAATTACTTATCCACCGTGGTGCATAAATAATATTATGCATAATACATATGCAATACGTGGAAAAAGCAAATTAAATGCTCGTTTTGTTGCAATGTTTGGAACCTAAAAAGTCGGAAGTTGCATTTCGTTCATCTGTATATGGGTCTCTATACTGCCCATTAGCAGAAGCTTTTTACAAGAGGACACTTGCAACCGTAAAATACATTTCAGCCAAATATGATGCCAAGCCTTAACTTTAAAAGAGAATAAAGAAGCCTGGGAAAATAACAAGGTCTTCACCTGCCCTTAAGACTATTGGTGGTGTTCTTGTAGGTAACTGGGCATAGGATAGCAGCCAGCAGTCTCTTGAAGATCTCTTCGGAAGACTTTTTTTTTTCCATTTCCAGGGTATATGCTTGCTTCTTCTTTGCATTTTGCCTCGTTGGTTCCCTTGCACGGCACGTGATTAATTATGGAAGCTGCCGCCACAAAATGTAGGCAGCTCAAGCGGTTTGGAAGGGGGCTTAGACAAATTCATGGAGGAGGAAAGATCTGCCAGTCGCTACGGTGGAACGATTGCCGTGGAGCAACAGTGAGAGAGCAGTTACTTTAAAATGAGATGATGATGGTGGTGGTGGTGGCTGGAGCAGTCCTATGGCCCCAAGGCAGCCGCTGGAGGGTCAAAGAATCCTTTCCATTCCCAGTTTTATTTATTTATTTAGGAAATGTATAGGTCGTCCATTACTGTCGTCTCTGGACGGCTTACAAGATATTATAATCCTACACAAAATAGATTGGCTACACCACGACTGAGTATAAAATGACATGGTTAAAATAAAGTAAATGAATAAATATACAATTAAAATTGATCAGCGTTAGAACATGGGTCAAATAAAAAGGTCTTGACCTGGTGCCAAAAAGCATATAATGACGGCGCCAGGCGGGCCTCTCTAGGGAGCGCATTCCATCGTCGGATTCTAGTTCTGATGTTGGAGAAGTTGGGGTTCCATGCTTGGAGCTGCTTCCCGTTCCCCTCCCGCAGCCGGCACGGCAAGGACCCCAGTGGTCCAGGGGTCGCAGCCCAACCATGGAGAAAGCTTAGAGGATGTTCCACGGGGCGAGGATGGGAGGCGACTAGGTCTGAAAGAGCCTAACAGGCGCTCCAGCCTCCTTCCCTCTCCACCCAAAGCGCTGCAAGATGGCTGAACACGTCCGTCGAGGCAAAGATTGCCGCCATGTTCTTCCCGCCCTGCAAGGCTGCCCATATTTTTTCCAGCTTAGGGCTTCCATGCTTCCTATGCATGTTCTCACAGAAAAATGTCCTGCGATTGGCTGTAGGATGCTGGGCTTCTTTTTGCTCAAATGTGCACAGGATTGTATCCTAAAATGTATGTGCTCTTATTCATCCAGTATATTCTAGGGCAGTGAGCAGCAAAGATAAGTAGTACACGGCTTATCGAAGAAAATACTAAAACATGCCCTGAAACCATAACTGATAAAATAAAGAATCAACTAAAGCCATACAGCAGCAGCAAGCAGCAGCAATTCTCAAAATGCTTGGGGAAATAAAAATATCTTAACAACCTGTCATGAAAAAGATTCTATGCAGGTGGCAAACACAACTGTTGAGGGGACTTTCCATAGAGGAGGGCACCACCAAAAAATCCTCTCCTGTGTTGTTGCAGGATGCCATCTTTCTCTTAAGGAAAGCACCGCTTGTCTTTCTTTGAACTTCCCGAAGGCATCGGGCTGGCCGCTGCGGGATGCAAAACGCTGGACCAAATGGATGGCTGCCCTAATGCAGCAGAGTGTTTCTCATGTTCTAATTTTCTCAATTACAGTCTCTTTTATTTCTCTACCCTAGTTGCTGAATTGTATTATCTGAATTGTTTATTGGATTGCTCTTTTATTAATCCCTAGGGTTCTGATCCAGCCAAGGGAACTCACTTTAGAGTCAAGGAAGAAACAAAACCCCTGGCTCAAAGATGATATATAGTTCATTGGAAATAATTATGCAATATGCAGATGATAAGCAAGCAAAAGAAAGCTCACACTCCCTTTATCTGTGTGCATATTTCCTCCCTGAATAGGCCAGGGAACCTCCCAAGTTGCCTAGGAGGGTGATGTGTCAGTTCCTCTCCCCAAGCCAAGAACAAAGGACATGCCATGAATTTTATACAGATCCTCTCCTCCATTTCAGAGTCTGTCAGCACAACCTACAGCTCTTGGGGGACAAGGGGAAGATGAATCAGCTTTAGCAATTCAAGCACTTTTAGTTCTTACAGCAAAAATAACTCTTATCTAAAGAATGTACTTGGGGAAACTAAGCCTCAAGGCCATGATCTCTGGTGTCTTTCCTAACAAGCTGAAGGCTGGCATGGCTTCAAAAATCTTTCTTGGTTTTTGGAAACAAAGAAAGTTCACTACATTACCAGCTGAATCTTAATAACTTCCTTTACCATTCTTCCCACCCAATACAGCTCTTTCTAACCTATCAATTATTTAAACTCTGCCAGTAGGTTAGCACTGGCCCCCACATTTACTTGGATGTGTTTTTTATTTAAAAGAACACACCAGGTTGGTTTTCCAAACATCCTTTAAAAATTCTTAGTTATAATCCAAAGAAATTCCGTCAATTCAGTGAATAACATGGTTTTAAGTACTCCCGTGTCTGCAGTCTTTCTTGCCAAGCTGTCCAACTGCTGTTTCACTTTGAAAGACCAACGTTTTCTTTTAGTCGTCCGCAAAAGATGCACAACACTGAGTTCTAAAGAGCCTGTTCTGTGGGTAGGGCATTGACAGATTTGGAAAGGAGATACAGCAGATGAGAGGGATGCCCAAATCTGATGGTACAGAATTCAGGCATGGATGGTCAAATTCGTGTGTCACCACCTGCTATTATTTCCAAGACTGATCAAGGGGAAAGAACTAGGATCCACACCCTGACCTATTTTGGCCTCTTTAGGGACCACGCGAAAAGGCTCCAACTGAGTTCAAGTCTTATCCATCTTCCAGGGAGGTCCCAGCCATTCCTAAGTTTTGAAGCCCTCTTGGTATATTAAAAAACAAAGAAATGCCAAAACAGGTTTACAAAAATTGTTGCATTTTAAACATTTGGTTATTATTCAGTTGCAAAGTCGTGTCCGACACACCGCGACCCCATGGACAACATTCCTCCAGGTCTTCCTGTCCTCCACCATCCCCCGGGGTCCGCTCAAGCTCACACCCACTGGGTCAGTGACCCCATCCAGCCACCTCATCCTCTGCCGTCCCCTTCTTCTTTTGCCATCTATTGTTCCCAGCATCAGGCTCTTCTCCAGGGAGTCCTTCCTTCTCATTAGGTGGCCAAAGCATTTGAGTTTCATCTTCAGGATCTGGCCTTCTAAAGAGCAGTCAGGGTTGATCTCCTCTAGGACTGACCGGTTTGATCTCCTTGCGGTCCAAGGGACTCGCAGGCGTCTCCTCCAATACAAGAACTCAAAGCATCAATTCTTCAGCGTTCAGCCTTCTTCATGCTCCAACTCTCACAGCCATACATTACAACTGGGAAAACCATAGCTTCGACTATATGTCTCTGCTTTTTAGTATGCTGTCTAGATTTGCCATAGCTTTCCTCCAAAGCAAGCATCTTTTAATTTCTTGGCCGTAGTCCCCATCTGCAGTGGTCTTGGTGCCCAAGAAAATAAAATCTATCGCTACTTCCATTTCCTCCCCTTCTGTTTGCCAGGAAGTGATAAGAGTGCCATGATCTAAAAAATCAACACATTTAACACAAAAGGATTCAATGTGATCATCCGTCAAAGGTTTTCTTTATTTAACAAGTGCTTTTCTAGCTTGTTTCTGTCCAAGTTCACTAATTATTGTGGAAAGTTGTACTTTTCCTGCAATGTCACAGTTTATGTTAAGGATAGCAAGGTGTTCCAATCTGTGGTCCCATCACTGAATGGCTGGAACCCCTGATTTGCTCCACTACACTGAAATTTGAGGCCCTTCTGGGAATGGCAGGCTCCAGGAAGGTCTCAGCACCATAAGAAAGTTTTGGTAAAAGCAAGAGCTCGTCTTCCTACTGAAATCATCAAGAGAAGCAAACTGGCCATTCACGTTCAAGATGGCCATCTCTGTTGGCCCAACAAAAGTCATAGTGGGCACTTAAAAAAAAATTCTGGGTTCCCATGTTTTAAAGACCTTTCTGGCAAGCAAAAACCCCTTATCTCTTCCTCAGTTTTGCCCCTCTGTTTGGTGGGGTGGGGTGAAAGTTTCTGCTGCAGAATTTCTGTCCATCAGGTTGTTGTGAAAGAAGCTATTTCAATGTGGGGCAGTATATAAATGTTGCAGAAATACATCACTGTAGATATAAGCTGGTGTTTTTTTGGAGGGGAGGGGTTCTGGTCACTCCCGTATTACAGCTTGCCACATCTGCAGTTAAAAACACGGGGGCCCTTCCTGGGGGTCAAAGGTAGACCGGCAATGCTGGACTCCTTCCGACATCGGCCATCTAAAACAAGGCGGAAGGTGGAAAGCTACTAATGTCAAAGGTAGCCATATTTCATTACTCCCTGGAGGGTACGGGGGTAATAAAAATGGTGGAGGTGGGAAAATATGCTTGGGCCATGAGATAAAGGAAGAATTTGTAGTGGGAAGGGCAGATTCGTACAGAACAAAGCAGGATGCAGAGGTCTCTAGTGGGCCAGCAAGAGTTTAATGCATGCGGGACAGAGTAGTCATGGATTGCCTGTTGGCAGGTGGACCAGCATGGAAATTTGGGATCAAATCCTGATTCTGCTATTGCAGAGGCTCTGGAACGTTCTCACCTGAATTTCTATAAAACGGAAGCATGAATAAGCAGCCCCAGAAAGGGAGAGGAAAGATGAATGCTAAGGCAGGAAAGCTAGGCGGGTACGAAAGCTAGGTGCAAATTCTTCCTTGAGAGCCTTGTGGGGTGGGGTTGGGTGCATTATATTTGGGCCTCACCCAAATTCAAGCCAAATGTAATTTTCTACTCCTCTCTGACCTTGAAAGGAGAAGCCAGCTGAGCTGAGAGGACGAGTGACTGTGAAAAGATAGTGCTATGAAAGAGGAGCTTGCTCTGTTCCCATAACTAAGTGGGGGGAGTACAAATGCTACGGATTTGGAGTGCTTTGACGAGGGCTGCTTGTGGTTCTTTCTGGAGCTAAATTGGATTCTGCAAAGTGCCTTGATGGGGTTTATTCGGGGCTTTCTGGATTTATAATTTTCTTCCTCCTGATTATGAAGATGGAGTGCACGGTTCTTGATGGATTTGGGGGATTCTGCCAATTTAGGGGCAAGGGAGAGAGAAAAGTGCAGCTCCTTTCAAACAGGGTAGCTTAACCCTTTGGTAGTACATGGTCAGAGGAGGCAGGAAGCAGATTTAAGAAGGCAGAGACGGAGAAGCAGGTCTTGCTCCATTATTCATGACCAGTTGCCCGCAGTTTCTCCATGATTTATGTACAGGCGCTGGCAGGCATCTAGTGAACGTGGCCCAAGGCCAAGGGCACGTCTCCACGACTCCAGCCCTGTCTCCAGCAGCGCGTTCCTTCCTCCGCCCTCGTCTTATTGCCATCTTGCTGCACCTCTTCCCACTATCCCAGTATCAAGCCCCCGTCTCCAAACCGGTCTGCCCCAGTTCCAAATCCCTCCTTCCTTTTTCCGGATGGGTTTGAGTCTTTCAACTTTCTGGCTTTCACATCAGTCATTAGTTCTGTTTTGTCTTCTGAATAATTTATCCCCGGTGGAAACATTTCTGGGCACACACACTTTTAAAGATGCATCTCGTCCTGGCCCCCAAGGGCAAGCGGTTGGGGGTCTATTACCCAGCAGGAATTTAACTTCTAGGGTTTGGGAAGCAGAGACTTTTGCCTTCGCATCTGTCCAGTTCTCCTGGTGTGGAGTGGGAAAGGGTGGCAGTTAGAATTCCTGAGAGGTACCTGCTCGGAGCTGCCGTCCTTGAGAATCTGCAAGGGCCGACAATTTTTAAGGAGCAGCCACTCTATGGATTATGGTAAAGCCTGAGTCACCTTTGGCGGGACCACACGGAATAAGAAGCAAAGTACGCTCGAAAGCAAACCAGGGACGCTTTTCCCAGGGAGAGGCAGTCGGGGATTCTCCGGAACGGAACAGCGAGGAAGCATCGCAATGGCCATGTAGAGGCAGAGCGTCCAGAGGAAGGAAGGCAAGGTCTGGTTGAGAGCGTGGCGGAGAAGAGACAGGAAGGGAGCAGACGGGTGACCTCTCTGACCCACGGACTCCTGGAGGATTGACGAGAGCGACGGAGCCCATGCGACGAGGGGGAAAATGGGAGCCCTAGGACAAGACGGACCACGGTGACAGAATCAAAACCTGGCGACGCCGAAAGGTGCCGTGGCGGAGTGAGAGCATGTGGTAGGACGAGCCAGGCTCTCGGGAAGGGAGGTCTGTGGAAGATGTGCAGCACGGAAGCCTGGGAGAAAAGATCCTGCTAGCTGGAGCGATCCGGGGAAATTGGGCGATGCAGAGCCTGATGAAATGATAGAAGGGAAGTTGGACGGAGAGGCTGGAAACGGAGACGCCGGCCCCTGAGAGAGCTCTCGGAGGAGGGGATGCGATGAGAGAGGCGCTCGGCCGGTCGAGGGACGGAGCGGAGTCGTGAAGGGTGGTCTTTGCTCCCAGATGGAGCGATAGGACAGCCTATTCCAGGAGCAGCGGCTCGGGAGGAGAAGGGTGTTTCCCACCCACCTGCTGGACCTTGCTGGACCCGGCTGTGTGAGGAGCCAGCTTGGGGTCAGCCCCATGGCCCGTGCCCCACCTTCCCCCCTGACCCCCAGTAACATCCCACGCAACCTCAGCTACATCGCAGGACTCTACGAGCGAGCCTATTACCGCACCGCCCGGCCAAGCTTGGCGGAAGACTCCGGAACCGAGGGCTCCGAATCGGAGTCCGAGGGCAGGCCACGGAGCAGGCCACGCAGGCGCCGCCACCTCTTGAGGGGCCCCAAGCGGAGCGGAAGGCGCCGGACACGATCCGCCCCCGCGTGGGGCAGGAGCAGGGAGGCCTCGCGCAGCCGCAGCCCTGGGACACGCAAGAGGGTCCGTTTCGCCGACTCGCTCGGCCTCGAGCTCACCAGCGTCCGGCAGTTCTGGCCCAACGACCTGCCACAGGTGCCGGAGCGGGTCCATGCCCAGCTGCGCCGTGACTCACTCAGCCACTTCGCCCCTTGCCTGCCTTTTTGTCCGCCTGCAAAGGTAACGGGGTTTGGCCCGCTTTGTGGTGGGATGGATCTTGGGGTGGGGGTGGCTGGAGGAAAGGAAATGGAGCGCTTTCCCCACTTTATCACCCCTTGCTAAATGTTCATTTATAAGGAGGAGCCGATTCTGTATACGGGAATAACCACTGCTATTTCTACGGGGAACTTGCTGGACTACCATAAACAGCTTTGGGCTGGCCCAGATTGGCTGCAGTCAGACAAGCCAATAAGCCATACTCACGGGTGAAGTGTGGGTTGTCACTGAACTATAGCTTGTTGCTGAAACATGGGTTATCGTGTTGTCTGAACCCAGCTGCCCTAACCACAAGCAACCCATGCAGAAAACCCATTGGTTTGTGGGTGGGTTCTGACCTGTGGGTTGTGCACCATGGTTTATTATCTTGGCTGGTTCAGACAACCAGATAATCCATTTTTGCAACAACAGGGGACACTCAACCCTTGAGTGTGGGCGAGTGCACTGTGCAACCCTGGTTGTGCTCTTCTGTGCAATACCTCTTGCAGCCACATTGGGATGCTCTCATAATACGGGTGCCGTGAATTGCAGTTTATACTGGTCCGTGTTTTCTTCAAGTGCTCAAATCTTAGACACATGAAAGCAGTCTTATATGCTTTACTTAAAAGAGAGCAGATTATGGCTGCCACTTTAAAGTCACTGACAAATCCCACTGAAGCCTGCAGGGTTTACTTCTGAGTAAAAAAAAAAAATGCTTTCAATTGCACTGTCGAGAAATTACTTCTGAATCGGGGCTCTTACCCCAAGGTTGGCATTGCAGCCTTCAAAACTTCTCCTGCTGAAGTCAGACGCATCCGTAACTTGTAGCTAAGGGCACTCACACGCCAGGTATTTTGCAAAAGATCCATAACTGAGGGTGAAAAGGAAGCTGCCATAAAGGGTTTGATGAGTGGGTGGCAGAGTGGGGCGATCACAGGACTGGGCTGGGAGTTGGGAGACCCGGGTTCGAATTTCCACTCTGCCATGAAATCTCAATGGGTGACTTTGTGCCAGTCACTGATTCTCAGCTGAGCCTACCTCGCAGGGTTGTTGTGGTGAGGATAGCAGGGAAGGGGATTGCCTTGTAATCCACCTGAGGTTCCTTCTCGGAGGACGAAAGGTGGGTGCAAAATGGCTATTACGAAGGCTGTCTTCTCCATAAGGCTGAAGGTGTACCGTAAGTGTCGGCACTAGCCTTCCCCCCAACCGTGGCCCCTCCAGATGTCTTGAACTACATCTCCCAGCATCCCCAGCTGGGGATATATGCTATCTGTGCTCCATTCCTAATCAGAACAAGATTGACGTATAATATCGCTGGCAGCAGTATTATCCCAGTAGTAGTGAGGCGGTAATAAAGTGCGTCAGTTGGTTAAAAGTCAGTTTTTAGCTGCTCCCGCAGAATTATGGGATATGTGGATGATGAAGAAATGGCCAGGACTCACTCGAAAATCAGCCACCGCCCCTCCCTGCCTGTGCATGGCAGGCTGATGCTGTTTCTCCGTCTTTGGAGATACTCGTGTAAAAGGCAGGAGGAAACGGCCCTCGCCGGAGTTAAACTCGGCTCTCGATTCCTTCCTTGGTCTTGCTGCTAGATGCACGTGCCGGTCACCAAAATCCAAAGATGGTGCAGGATGGGGGTTGAGAGAGGCCGATTCTAGTCCCTGCTCGGCCAGGAAGCTCCCTGGGGGGGCTGAGGCCAGGCGCTGGCCTACCTTGCAGGGTCATCGTGAGGATAAAAAGGACAGGAGGCGAACCCTGTGAAAGGTGGGATAGGCATGCGATGCAATAATAATACATCGTGATGATGTGCCCAGGAGTTGTTATTATTGTCTTATGGTATGGCAGGAGAAATTTCTCCAGAACTGCTGCATTCAAGCCCACTAAGGAGAGAGAACAAAAACGGATGTGGAGGGGAGGTTTTTTCAATCCGTGATGTTAGCAGGGAGCGAAAGTTTTAATTTATATAATCTGTGTTTTTGTACTGTGTTTATTTATGTAAGCCATCCCGAGGCGTTAAGCAATGGGACGGCATACGACAACTCTAAATAAATAAATCCGTCGGTCTCTTCTTTGGCCTGCCATTAGTCTTCAAATTCGACTTTAAAGCGAGCGGCTCCTTCCTTCCCTCCTTGCCATCCCCTCCCGCTTTCCCCTGCTTCTTCCACCCCTCCTGCTCCTGCCCCACCTCTCATTCCTCTGTCGTCTTGCTGGCCTTCATCACCCCTCTTCCTCCTCCTCCTGTGCTCTCTGTGTTCTCCCTGCCTGTGTTTGTTCCTTCCTCTTCAATCGCTGTCCAGCCGGCCTGCTTGACCGCTCTTCCCTCCTCACCTCCATTGCTCTCTTTCTTCCAGTTGTACCCCCTTTCCACCCCAGGATTTTTAACCCATTCAGTCCCCACCGCCTTACCGTACGACCTCTTCCCGCCCTATTTATGGCCAGTCCTCCGTCCTGCCACCTGCTCTCCGGGGGCACTTCTGTTTTCTGGTCCTGCCACCTGCTTTTTGCACCCCTAGCCAGGTGAGGGGTTCTGACAACTCAACAACTTGCACTCGTTTACTTCTGCTTGATCCTAAATAAAACCTTTGTATTTAATCGTTATTTTAAAAAATAGTATTTTTACCGTTTTACAGTCGCTTTTGTTCTGTTTTGTTTCGATTGATTTATTTGCATTGGTTTTGATCATTTTATTGTATTGTATTGTTTTATTGATTGTTCTTATGGTTTTCGCTTTTAATCTTGTAAGCCATCCTGAGACGCGATAGTGAAGGACGGCATACAGATGTTTTAAATAAATAATAAAGGAATTCCGCAAGTCCGGATTTTGGACTTTCTCTGATGCTTTCTTTTCCAAACCTCCCTTTTTCCCAGTTGTGTCCTGGATAATATATTTGCTTTCTGTGTCCTTCTAATGTCTCCCTTTCTACCTCCCCTCTCCTTTATTCCTATCTGCACCATGTCTTTCCCTTCCCCTCCTTTCCAAGAATCTCTGTCCATGCATTTCCTTCCTCTTCCTCCCTTCAGCACCTTCCCTCTTCGTGTTCCTTTACTTCCCCTTTCCATCAGTCCAGTTTTCTAACATTCAGACGACATGGTTCTCACATTCTCACTGCCCCTTCTCTCTCTCTCTCTCTCTCTCCACCCCCAGGACCCCCTGAGCCTTCGCTGCCTGCTCGAGCCCACGTTCCCGGACCCCCTGACGATGCCGGATTTCTTGCCACGCCTCCTGGCGCAGTGCGTGCTGCTGGAGGGGGCACGGGCCGAGGGGGCCTGCGTGTCCGGCACCATCCGGGTGCTCAACCTGGCCTTCGAGAAACGGGTCTCCGTCCGATACACCTGGGACGCCTGGGGCACGCACCGCGAAGTCCGGGCCTCCTACGCCGCCCCTGCGGGCCGGGGCCGGGACCACGCCGACCGCTTCGCCTTCCAGCTGCCACTGCCCGTGCCACTGCCCCCGGGGGTCTTCCTGGAGTTTGCCCTCTGCTACCTGGTGGGGGGGAAGGAATACTGGGACAACAACCATGGCCGCAACTACACCCTGCGCCCCCCACCCTGTGTGGACGAGGAGGAGGAGCCCCTCAGCCCTACGCAGGATTGCTGCGAGACGGGGTGGATACACTTCCTGTAGGAAGGTGGCACCGGGAAGCTGCCAGAGCTTCCAGATCGACCTGGCCCAGTTTGACCCGGACGATCCGGGTTGGCTCTTTCCTCCCCAGTGCGGCATTTCCTAGGCTAGGATCTGCTTCCCGTTTACTAGCTTCGCGCCGTCCGGCAAAACCTTCAAGCGGGGGTGCAGAACCGCAGCCCTGGGGAGCCCAAGCCGGCCCGCGTGGGCTCTGCTGACGCCCACCCCCTTCCAGTGGCCACCCCCTTTCTCCCCACTGCCAGTCACTGGTTGGTTTCCTGGCTTATGTGGGGAGGGGGTTGTCCACCCCAAAGGTCGAAAGGACTTTCCAAAGGCAGCATGAGCTTTAACTTCAAGTAGGTTTTGGCCACATCCTCTTGCAGGGCTGACCGTGAAGCATTTCTCAAATCGAATTTCAGCTCAGGGTGTAGGAGGTACCCTGTGCCCACCTCAAGCCAACTGCTGAAGGAGGGCACTAAAATGCTAAACTTTGTAAGTTGTCTCATCCCATTACCCAAGTGTCTTTTAGGTCAGCCTTCCCCAACCTGGTGGCCTTCAGAGGCATTTGGACAACTCCCAGAATTCCCATCCAGCAGGGCCATTGACTGGGAATTCTGGGTATTACAGTTATTCTATTTATTTATTCATTATTTAAAGTTTTTATATGCCATCCAATACTAAAAGTCTCTGGACAGCTTACAAAAAACAAAAACAAAGCAACTATATACAACAAACAAGACACTGCATCCAATAAATGATGATAAAATCAAGGATAAAACCAGTTAACTGTGTGGTGTAGAGCCAGTGTGGTGTAGTGGTTAAGAGCACGGGACTCAGGTGATCCGGGTTCGAGTCCCTGCTCAGCCATAGAGCCAACTGGGTGACTTTGGGCCAGTCACAGACTCTCAGCCCAACCTACCTCACAGGGTTGTTGTTGTGGGGATAAGATGGAGGAGGAGAATGATGTAAGCTGCCTTGAGCAGGATATAAATCGAAAAATAAATAAATAAACTGTTAAAATATTGGGAAAATTAAAAAGTCTTCACCTAGTGCCGAAAAGAATAAAGTGTCGGCGCTAGGCAAACCTCCCAGGGGAGCATGTTCCACAGTTGGGGTGCCACCCCTGGAAAGGCCCTTCTCCGAGTAGCTACCCTCTCAATTTCCTTCAAAGAGGGCTCCCAGAGAAGGACCTCTGCCTCGGATCTCAAGGGGCAGGCTGGCACACAGGGAAGAAGGCGCTCCTTCGGTTCGAATGTGTTTGGAAGGCAGAAAGCTGACGAAAGCTGTTTAGGTCATGCTCACTGGCTCTTTTTAGCTGTATGTGGGTGGTATCCCTTACACCTCAGACAATTTCTTTATTATTCATTTCATTCCATCTCTGTGCCACCGCATAACCCGAAGGTAAAGCGAATCAATTGTTCCCATTTTACAGATGGGGAAGAAGAGGCTGAGAGAAAGTGTCTTGAGCCTGGGGTAAGCGTGCATTTGAACTCGTCTCCTGGCCCGTCGCCTTCCGTCGTTCCCCTGAACAATTCCTGCTTTAACATCAAGGATACTTCGATCCAACCCTTCCCCCCACCCTCCCTCCCCGCAATGCAGCTTATATGTTGCTAAGTAACCTAAATTAATCGTAGGATTTATTAAGAAATCCTCTTTCTTCAGTGGGGTCTTGCTGGTATTTTAAGATGAGATTGAATAAAGAGCATATTTATTCATGGAAGGAAGAAAGGAATTGGGCCTTTGGGGAAATGAAAGATGCTTCTTGATGCCCGTTTGGGTCGTGCATCTCCATGGGATTGGAGTAAAACTCTGAGGATTTTGCATATTGTTCCAAGGACTTTATTCACATGTTACCTTTCCCCTCATCTCCATGCATGAATACATGGGAAATGTGGAATCTATAAATGTTTACATCTTGTATCACTGTTGTCTCATCTTGTGTGTTTCTGAACTAGCTGGTAAAGAAGTAAAAAAACCCCATGTTGTCTCCCTTGTGCATGTTTCGGTCCAGTCAGCGTGGGCGCTTTATACACAGCCTTTTCTCTCGCAAAGAGAAAAAAGGGTCATGGAGTGAAATTGGCCAAAGTCTTTATTCTGGGGAACTGGTACGTGTTGGTTTGTTCGGGGTGTTTTGATCTGTGCATTTGTGGAAAAGGAATTAACGTGTGCCCACATCCATGCGTGTGATGTCCGTCTTCTTTCCCAACATAAAACGTCTTGGATCAAGGTGCCCCATAATATTCGGGACAAATATATCCCTAGTTGTGCAAAACGGTGTCTGTGTGAACACAGATCTGTCCTCATGGGAGAGCTTTTGCTTTGGATTAGACAAAGAGGAAAAGGGAAGTGAGATTTCTCAAGTTTCATGGGTTATACATGAATCTCACAAGCTCCTAACTGCTGTTGTTCTGTCACATTTCTTCTCTGAATTACAAGTGAAGAGACGCATGATTTGTACACCTGAAAAGCAAAAATAAAAACAAAATGTGCCTTTAGCGTGTTTAAGGCTCACTCAGTGTTTGTGGGTCTGCAAGATTCCCTGTCAGACCTTCTGGTCGCACAGAAATCAGCCAGGAATTATTTGTGCAATAACACAACATAGATCCTCACCTTAGCACATCCCCCCCTCACACACACACAATCCTCACAGCAGTCTGGAAAAGTGAATTGCCCAGATAAACAACTCTGGTGAAAGTGAAGCGTTGGTCTGGACCAGAGAGGCATTGTCAGAGCCTGGCATTTGTCCTTTGTGTTCTCCCCATACCACTGAAAGGCCATCCAGGAAAAAGTTTCCAGTTACAGTCAGTAAAAGGGGGAGGGAATGGATGGTCTCAAAAACCCATAAATAGCTAACATAAAAGAGTGAAGAAGACTGAGATGACTGAGGAACTCTGGTTGATTATGTGCATCCCCTAATGCCAGAAATGAATATTTAATTTAATTGTGACTTGCAAATGTCTGAGTCAAGGCAAGCCCAGCAAATGCCTACGCAGAGTTCAGATTTTCAAGAACTTATTTTCAACCCATTCATTTATTTTCTATTATTTATTATATTTTGGAGGCCTTTCTGTTTGGCCAGTGCACAGCCTTCCCTAAGCCAGTGACTTCCAGAAGTGTTGGATTGCAACTCCCAGGTTCCTGATCACAAGCCAGGCTGGCTGGGGCTGATGGGAGTTGTAGCCCCCCCCCCCAAAAAAAAAAAAAAATCTAGAGTCCCAGGATGAGAAAGGCTGGCTTATGAGAGTTTGTGCCCTGGAGGCAGAGCAGACGTGTTACACCCCATCTGGCCTCCATCCATGCCAGATGTTTGGCTGTCTGTCCAGATGTGCCATGGCTGAAAAACAAAAAGATCATTTAGCAACAAGAAAGGATGCACGAAAGATAAGCGGGATGTGTGGGTGAATGAGACAGAGATGGGGATAAATGGGGAAAGGGCTGTCTTAAGGACCAGTGGAAAAGGCAAGGGAGGGGGCGGGGAGAGAGAGAAAGAGAGAGAGAACCTGCAGCCTTCCTGCTTCTTTCTGGACAATTCCCAGAATTTGCTCGGTTCTTCTTTCTGTAGCTTGCCTTAGCAAAGGAAGGCAACATGCGATGGGTGATCCTTCGCGGGGGTGGATTTAGCAGGGCTGGGGGCACTCTCAGATCAGCGGCTGCCCCCTCCTCTCTCCCCTCCCCCCAGTCCCCCCTCTCCCCTTCTCCATCCAAAGGCCTCCCTCCCCTCCTCTCTTTCTGCTCAGAGCCCTCCTCTTTCCCTACCGGAGAGAGAACGAGAAGGGGCTCCCTGTGCTGCGGGACCTCCCCCAAAAAGACCGATCGCAGACCCCCCTCCCTCCACAAGGTAACCCCTCTTGCGCGTAACTAACTTTTCTTTTTCTCTGCAAAACCTTCGGTTACCGGACGGGGCAGGGCGCACTTTTCGCAACTCTGCAGCCATCATGGGGTCCCCCCCATCCCCCTCCTCCCAAGAAAGGCGAGGAAAATGGCTACCAAATGGGGGGCGGGCTGTGTCCATGGGTCTGCACTGACCCCCAGGCCTTCCCAGGGCTCCCCTCCCCAGAGTACAGGTCAGACGTGCAGGCGGGCAGCTCCGCATGAAGGAAGGAAAAAGGAAGAAGGGTAGGCGAGAGAAAAAGAAGCGCTTGGAGCAGTTTGGGATGGATAAACAGAAAAGCTTGCAGCATCATGGAACCCAATGGTGATTAGGGCCCAAGAGGTAAAAATGGTCGCGTTTTAGGTAGTTCTGCATCGCCCTTTGCAACTGACTGCAGCCAGTCCCCTCGGCCTGGACATGGGGGTGGCCGGGCCCCTGAGCAGGCAGTTGCCTCCCCGAGAGTAAGTCCCACGGGACTCAAGGGGACGACTGTCCAAAGACGTGGGCAGGTTTTCCAGTCCGGAAGGAAAGCTTTTCAAAGCGTTTCTCAACTGGCCTCCTCATAAGAGCAGAGTTATCAAATCCGCTCAACCTGTCAGGAAAGTGCGAGGAAAATTCTTCCCCCTCCAGCACTCAAGCGCACCCTCTTCTATGCCCTGGATGCCTAAAAGAGGCTTTCCCTGCACCAGAAGGCAAGCAAAAAATGTAGTGGGCTACTAAGTTTTGGCGGGCATTTGCAACGGGCCGGCTTTAAGCCCCCCTCCTGTCTGTTCCCACAGGTTGCCTTCCTTTCTCTTCCAGGCGCGTCTGCCTCAAGCGATGGCCCGCGGGCTGGACTGGTTCTTGGTGGCGGCGGCCACCTGGGCTGCAGCCGCTTCCGCAAGCGGGTGTAACAAGGCGCTTTGTGCCAGCGATGTCAGCAAGTGCTTGTTGCAGGTGAGATGCCAGGGGAACGACACCTGCCTCAGTTCTCCCCTGCTCCACAGGGAAGTGTTTGGCAAGGGTGCCGTTGCCAAGGCGCATGGTCCTTTTTAATCCCCCCCCCCACAGTAAAATGGAAGGCCCATGACCCTTGCAAATGTATCTGTGATACACATGTTGCTTTGAGCTTTCTGTTGATTAGATTGTTGTAAGCCGCCCCGAGGCTTCGGCGAATGGGGCGGCATAAAAATGTTTTAATAAATAATAAAATAAATAAATAGAGCAGACAAGCCTAGAACAGTGACTCGTTGCAGAGATGGATAAGCAATAGTACATACAACCAAAGTATTCCCTTCCATCTCTACACAAGAAGCAACAGAATGCTCTAATCAAAACCAGGGCAGACGGGCTAAATTATCCATCTTTTTCGAGGGCTGATTGGGCAAAGTATCATGCAGAGGGACAGCAAGTAACCTCCTCTTCTGAGAGGTTAGCTGTGAACTCATAGAACAGCTAATAATTTACTTCTCTCTCACTAGAAACTAGTTTTCACATGGCAAATAGAAACATAGTGAGTCAGAAGGGGTCTCCTGGGCCATCTAGTGTGACCCCCGGCTCCAGCCGGCTCCACTCACAACATGCCCACCATGTGCACGTCCAGCCTGTCCTTGAACACCCTCACCGATGGGGCCTCAACCACCTCCCATGGAAGCCCATTCCAGACCCTTGGGGTCCTGACTGTCAGGAAGTACAAATGAATGCATGGTCCCAAGACAGTGTGGAGATGAATGGATTAGAGCAACCCCCTCCCATTAAAAAGCGAGTTAGTAAATGGATCCTTCCAGTTTAAGCCAGGTGGTGCTATACTCTCCATGTTTCCTAACCCATCATAGCAGAAAGCATCTGTCACCTTCAGCGGTGTGATGGAGCCTAAATTCACTGGGTTGAATTCCCAGGACTTTTCTCATTTCCAATTCCTTCAGAGCTTAGCCGTCTTTCTCACAGCAACTGGGACAAAATGCATTTTCCGAGCAATAGTGTGTTTTGCTAGTTATCCCTGTTGTAACACAAAGTGGTTTCTTCTGGAATGGACCATTAAGACCCATTAGTTTTATGGAAGTCAAATATATATATATGGATACACAGGGGCAGGGGAGGGGTCGACGCAACCACCAGCATGGGGGGACGGGGTATGGAAACGGTCACAAGGAGCACCTGTACTTCAGTATTTACTATGGGACCACCATACCTGGTCTTATCTTGAGGCCAAGGCAAGCTGTTGTTAAAGGCCCCCAAAGGCCAGGAAAATAGAGGTGACTTCAGTTATTTTGCTTTTACCGCTTACTGAAGAGAAGGCTTTCACCTGGAAGGGCTTCCAAATTTGCCTTGAGCTTCTGGCCTTCTGAAATGGGTAACTGGACATGCAGAAAAGCGGGGCGGGGGGAGTTATTCTTCCCGTAACAACAACAACAATTCTTCCTCCTCCTCCTCCTCGCCTTCTCTCGGCAGGAAGTGTGCCAGTGTGAAGCCAACCGTGCCGGCTGTCCGTGTTGTAGGGAGTGCGCCTTTTGCCTGGGCAGTCTGTGGGAGTCGTGCTGCGGATGTGTGGGTGAGTGAATTCTGGGGGTCGTTGTTCCCCAGTCCATAACTGGGACATATTGGCAGTTTGGAGGGTGGCAGAGAGCCTGAAGGAAAGAGAGCAAAGCAGGGAAAACGGCTTTTGCTAGAAAGCTTGCCGTGTTTGTCCAGAATTCTAACTTCGGTGATGAAAGCTGCCAGAACACTTTTGCTCTGGCCCTCCCAGAATAGCAACTTCCTGGGGCATGTATTTGTGACCTAAGACACCACTGCTCTCTGGAAGAGTCCCCTGCTCTTTGTGCAGAATGGCCCAGGTTCCATTCCTGCTATTTCCAGTTTAAAAAGTCCAAAGGCAGGGGATGGGGAAGGCTCTTTCTCTGCCGGAGACCCAGGAAGCTGCTCCCACTCCAAGTGGAGTTGCAAGTTTAAGTGTGTTAAAGGGCCAGCCTGTCACCTGGCACCTTCTGTTCTGTCCGGTGGCTGCCCAGCATTTGTAAAGATGCCTGCCAGGCCCAATTTAAGGTGCTGGTGATGACCCTAAACAGCTTGGGGCCTGGATACTTGAAGGAGTGCCTTCTTCCCTATGTGCCGGCCTGCCCCTTTAGGTTCGAGGCAGAGGGCCTTCTCCAGGAGCCCACTTTGAAGGAAATTAGGAGGGTCGCTACTCAGAGAACGGCCTTTTCGGTGGTGGCACATGCTCCCCAGGGAGGTTTGCCTGGCGCCCACGCTTTATTCTTTTCAGCGCCAGGCAAAGACCTTTTTATTTTCCCAATATTTTAACAGTTAATTGGTTTTATCCTTGTTTTTATCATCATTTATCGGATGCAGTGTGTTGTTTGTTGTATGTGGTTATTTTGGTTTTTGGATTTTTCCTTTTTGTAAGCCCTTCAGAGACTTTTAGTATTGGGATGGCGTAGGGAAAAATTAAATTGATTCAATAAAAGCGACAGCCGTGGTTTGGTGGCATGCAGAGGAAGATCTGCAGTGGTGTCATACCTACCCCTTCCTGAGGATTAATCTGGACCGGGTTCGGGGCTGAGCGAGGGTTTCTGACTTTGTCTCTGCGTTCTGAGGGCTGTGTGATGAACGGCTCCCGTCCGCCTCCCGTCCCGCCGAGCGCAGCTCCATGCACGACCTGACGGCACCAGTACCCTCCCTCTTCCGGGCGCTCATGGCCATCTCCGACAACGACCCCCCCATGGGCTGGAGTGTCCTGACGCTTCCCGTTGGAGAAGAGCTGAGGCAGAACCACGCGGAGACCGGCCACCTCTTGCTGGGTCCACGCACAGGTACCTGCGCGACAGAGGGGAGTGGGCTCCTTTTGGAAAGGGAGCCAGGCAGTGCCGAGAGGAGCACCCAGGCCCAGTTGCAAGAGCAAGAGAGGTTTGCAAATACCGTAGATTTTTTTTCCCCCAGACTGGGAGAAAGGGAAAGGTGAAGCTCCAATTTCAGCCTGTCTGCTCGGGAAGGGAGGGGGCGTTCCTAAAATAAATCTGGTGGCTCACGGAGAAGCAGGCTCGGCACCGGCTGGTCTCTCTGGCTTCATGGCGGGAAGCTAGGTTAGTTAAATATTTAAATGTGTACTGGAAGCTAGAAGCTTAGACATGAATTCTGTAGCCTTTATAAGGGAACATCCTCCACCATCACTGGCCAACCTTGCAGGGGCGATGTACATGAATCTGCAGGTAAAGAGCAGAGAAACATGAAGGAATATCACAAGATTCTCTTCCAGGCATGCACAGGGTTTTTTTGAGGGTTCAGACTAACGTCCAGATGCATGGAAGCTCTCTCCGTGCGTGTTCAGATCTTTGCACACATCAAAGGGTCAACAAAAATTGTGAGTTAATTTTTCTTTAAGGTGACCTGCATCTTGGGTTGTTTTTTTCTGCAACAGCAAAATACAGCAATTCTCTTGGCCTTTGATCTGTTTTTGCTATTCTCACCTTCCTTTATTTCATTTCTGTAACACCCAATAGCTGAAGCTGAAATTATTAATAGTTAATATAACTGGTTTGTAAGTTGTTTTTCATGTAGCATCCGGGAAAGCACCGTCACAGCTTCACATGACCTCTTAGAGGACAAAAGGCCCAAGAGAAGGGAAGATGGAACAGTTGTTTGTATCAGCAAAACCAGAGAAATGTCAGTTGTGAATGGGCTCTACCAGCCTTCCCCAACCTGGTGCTCTCCAGATGCGTTGGGCTAAAACTCCCCAGTGGCAAAGCTGGCTTGTTAGTTCTGTGTTTTGCAACTGCAGTAATGCGGATAACCATCCCAAGGTTAAGTCCGGGGGCTAAAATCCCATAGCTAAATGCCCACAGCTCCAATATTGCTGGCAGGGAGATGCTACGGGTTAATAGCCTAAAAGATTTGCAGGGTGAGAGGTTGCCAACCGCCGGACCGCCTGGGAAAACTAGGAAGAAGGCAGTGGCACCACCACGTCACTGCCGGGGCCGATCACGGGGAACGTGAACGCGACCTTTTCTCGTTGCAGACGCCACCCTCCCAGACGCCGCCAGCCTCAACGCCACAGCCCCACCCTGCCAGTCGATTTTCTTCAACGAGTGCCTCTCCATGAGCCAGTGCCGGGCAGTCTGCCAGTCCGTGGGTGCCTGGCGCTACCGCTGGTTCCACAACGCCTGTTGTCAGTGTTTGGGGCCCGACTGCCTGGGCTACGGAGGACCTCACGCGCATTGCTCCAGCTGCCGGGACTGAGTTCTTGCCCTCTGTCGTGCGTGCGTGCGTGGGCGCGCACGCGCACACACACACACACACACAGGGTCCTGGCCGATACTTGCCTGCCGGCCCCGATCCCAGCCAACCGTCTCTCTTTCTGCTCCCACCTCACTTCCACTCTTTTTCCACCAAGGAAATGCGCATGCAGCATTGAGGGCTTGGGAATGTGTCATCTTGTTGCTCAGGAAATTCCAGTCAGCGACTGGAGAAAGGGGCAGGGGATTTCCTGGACAGAGATGGAGGTAAAAGGGGTGGGCTCGTAGTTCTAGCCCAGGGCTGGCTGTTCCCCACCCCTCAGTTATATGGACAGGAACAGCTCTTCTAGTCACCCGGGACCCTCCTCCTTTACCCGTGGGCTCCTTGCCCGTTGCTTTCTTCTTCCTGGTCTCTCATACAGGTGAACTTGTCCGAATTTGCTTTGCTCTTCCACTGTTCTCCACTGCAGCACCACGGAGGAGAGCAGTTAATCCCGTTAGCTGGTGTCGGTGTTGAAGCATTGCTAGCACTGAACCCCGCAAAGAGCTGCCCAGGGCAAAACCCTTGCACCATCCCCCTCCCCAAATTGCATTCCCTCTCTGAATGCCCCAAGCCTTTTGCTTCATAGACTTAGGTACAGACTTTGTCAATCCATCAGCCTCAGATAATAAAGACATCTTTGGAGTTGTGTGTTCAGTAGAGTGTGAGGCATCGGGGGAGAGGGAATGGAGAACTGGGAATAAATCTTCCTGAAATAGCACCTCTCTGCCTGCAAAGAGAAGAGAAAGGGGTACTGCCAGCCATGGATCCTAACAATTCCTGATACAGACTAAACAGAGACAAGAGGTTTGCCAAGGCCCCAGTGGGACACCCTTGAACTGGCACAGCACGACTCCACGTGCAAAGTCCGGCTCCTTAACAGGTGAACACACCTTTCTGGCTGACCATCTAAGCTGGGATGCTCCAACACGTGGCCCGCGGGCCGCATGCAGCCCCGAAGCCTTGTTCTCCGGCCCTCTTGCACGTCCGTTTCCTTGCTCCGGGTCCAGGTCCCAGCTATGGCACGGACATGGTGGCAGCAAGCTCTCCTGAGGCCGCTGTCCTGTCCGGCTTTCTCTCTGAGGCTCAGGGCATGCTGGGAAGAGTCTGTGGACTCAAGTACGAGGCTCAGCTTGCAATTCCAAGAAGGGGGGGGAGTAGGAGGGGGTCACACGGGCGGGTTTCAGAGTGGGACAGATGGGGAAGGAAGGAATGGTCCACCCCAGAGGAGCAGTCGTGGTGCTTGGGCTGTGGTCGGAGGAGGAGCTGCCTGCAATACGCATCGGTGCGGGTGTTCAAAGACAGGCTGGACATGCACATGGTGGGCATGTCATGAGCAGACCCAGCTGGAGCTGGGGGTCAGACTAGATGGCCCAGGAGGCCCCTTCTGACTCACTCTGTTTCTATTGTTTCTATCTGCAAAGATCACAAGCCCACTTTGCTTTTTCATTCAGCTAGTCCTAAAGTCACCTTAAAATTAATTCTCCCTCATTGAATAGTTAATTAAATATATTGTGTTTATCAAATAAATATATTGCAAACACTTTAAATACAGCGTGGAAATGTGAGGCGGCCCAGGTTCGGTGTCGAAGTCCTCATACGGCCCTCAAGGTATGAGAAGTGTTTTATAAATACTGTATCCCCGGACTAAAAAAGGGCTTGAGGCATTAAATAGCACAAGGCAAGCTCACGACAGGCCCAGAACATTTGTTAGCTATTGGTATTCCTTCAGCCATACTCCCTATGATAATTCTCATACACAATAAGCAAACATAGTAGGGAAAAATAGGAGCCCAACAGACTCCATGAATTTGCAGAGGATCCATCACCAGGTGATTCTGCCCCCCCCCCCCCCCCGGATGCAGGGAACCCTCCCTGTGAGGTTAATGGCAAGGGACGGGTAGACCTTCTCCCAAGCGGATGTGCAAAGTCCGGCAGATTTCCCTCGTTTGGCGAAATATCAGTCAGGGGTCACCACTGAACAGTCCTGGTTTTGTCACAGTTTATTCTTCACACACATGCAGTCACAGTAAAATGGTGCTGCTAAGCATGTGCAGAATGCCATTCCTTATTTCCCACCAGGCGGGGAGCCAAGGATGGATTCAAGATCTCAGCTGGAGGTTGCGCTGCGTGCCTGTTAACAACGGGTCCGGACCATGGGCTCTTTTGCTTCACCAAATCCTGAAACATGGTGCTGGGTGTGCCGAAGCAAGGACGGGGCCACCGTTGTAAAATGATGCTGAAGAAGCACCAGCTATGAGGGAAGTCGCGGGCTAAAATCGCTTTTCGATGGCCACGGAGGGGTCTGAGGCAACACGTCATCGTGCCTCGGCTCCGCGTTCACATGTGATCGCAACCTCCCCAAGGGCTCTGGGGGGATCCGGTGCCTTCCCTTTCTTGCAATGATTCGTCCCCATGTACACCCTGCCCTCCAAGCCCGCTCTCTGGGCCGCTCACGCCAGCAGACCACCGCCCCGGCCCCTCCTCGCCCGACAGGGCAGAGCCTTCCGCCTCGGCGTTCTCGAATCCGTGATGCAACAATGAGGGGAAAGATGCCTCTGAGCACGTGCAGAGTAAGGCGCTGCGAGCTGGCCCGACACATCTGGGGCGAAGGACCGGATTCTCAGGTAAGGGGGTGTGGCTCGAGCGCCGGCTCCCCTTCCCGAAATGCAGCCCCCCGAGCGGAGCCCGGGGTCTCGCCGGCCGCCCGCCCGCCCCCCTTCCCCGCCGAGAGCCGCGGATCCCTCGCGCGCGGCCCGCCACGCCTCCCCCAGCCGATGGCAGCCCCGCCGCCCGGCCAGCCGGCGCGACCCCTCCGGGACGATCGGCCCCCCGGGCGGGGGCGCCGGGCCTGCGGGGTGAGTGGAGCCGCCCCGGGCCCGGCCCGGCCCGGCCCCGCCGCGCCCCCTCGCCTTCCCTCCGCCGCCGCCGCCGCCGCTCCCGGCTTCTTTTGTTTTCCTCTTCCCGCTTCTTCCTCCCGCCTCTTTGCACCGTCCCGCAGCCGCGGGCTGCTTCTCCAAGCCGCCTTTCCGCCCCTTGGGCCTCCCTGCGCCCCCCCGCCCGCAGCCCCCGTATCCCCCTTTGCTTCTCCGCCCGAGGCCTAGCCCCCCTTCTGCCTGCCCCCCTTCCGCACTCAGTGCTTCCCTCACCCTATTATTTTCTCGCCTCCTTTCCCAGAATGCAACAACGGCGATAGCCCGGCTTTTCTTTACACCGCCCTACTGCGTTATTATTGCCCCTGTAAGAAAGGGGAGGTGTGTGAAGAGGTAAATCGGTACAAATAATGATTTGCCCCCGTCTTGCTGAAACTCTTGAGAGACAATAATGCAATGGACTAAGCCAGGTGCAAATGAAAAAACGACAAATGATTGCTGCTATTCATCTTCTTCCCGGGTTCTTTACTCCTGGCCTGCTCACAAGAGGAGACGGGGCAGAAGGGGAAACGTAGAAACGTTAGGTGGCTTGTGGGTGCAGCCAGCCAGCTGCGGGGCAGGTGAGGTGTATTCATGCTGGTGGTGAAGGGGACGGATGGAAAAAGCCCAAGTTTGTGGCGATCGTTTTGCCATCACTGGTGTAGGGTCCTTTACACAGTTAACAGGGCCTTGCTCTTAGGAGCTTAGATCTCGTTTTCACTTGGTAAGACGTTTTAAAAGGTGTAAGACCTCTGCACCTGGTACCTCATAAGGTTGCAATCCCATGTATATTTGCTGGAAGTAAGAGCTGTGGAACTCTGTGAGCTCTTTTCTTTCTTCTTGATTAGATTTATATCCTGACTTTTTTCTTTTTTTAACCAACTCGAAGTGGCTTACGTCATGCTCCTCCTCCCACTCCCAATCTTATCCCCACCACAACAACCCTGTGAGGTAGGCTGGGCTGAGAGTCTGTGACTGGTCAAGGGTCACCCAGTTAACTCCATGGCCGAGTGGAGATGAGAACCCAGATCGCCTGAGTCCCAATCCTCACTCTTAAGCACGACACTACAGACTCTGAGCAAACATGCAGAGGATTGCGCTGCACAGCACCTGAGTAACCACCACAAGCTGCTACCACAGATTTGGGAGCCCCTGAGAGATGGTTTCTGGAGGAACGTGAACTCATTCGTTGGCTGAACGATTTGCGTGTGAGTTATCCTACAGTCTGTTGTGTTTGCTCTACCGCACCTCCCCCAATTTAAGACATGCCAGATGCGTCTCCCATAATCCTCAAGCGGCAGCAGCCACGGAACATATTACTAAGGATGTTAAAAAGCCATGGCTGTCCATGTAGTCCAGCATCTGTTCACACAACCAGGTGTCTGTGGGAAACATACAGGTAGGATGGCACCCCCACTCCCGTTTTCCACCATTGCGCAACAAGATGACCTGCCTTAGATGCAGTCAGTCCGATGGTCCATCTAGTCAACAATGACTGACAGCAGAGGTTCTCCAGGGATTCAGGTAGGGATCTTTCTTAGCGCTCCTGAGAAATGCTGGGAATTTAACCTTCTTGCATGCAGAGCTTCTGCTCCGCCACTGAGTTATGGCCTCTCCTCTCCAGCAGCGCATCCAGTATTTTACCACAGTTACGGCTTTCTATCTTAGAGTGGACCTTCAAATCCCACTGGGGTTGAGAGAGTGTGTGTCAGCGGTGGAACTTGCAAAAGAGCGAAGACAAAATATCTGTCTGTTGATTATGTATTTCCATAGAACACCGCAGTGGAGAAAGTTTCAATTTATCCCAGTTCATTATATTTATAATCGACTTTTCCACTAAAATGGGCGTTCCAGTCCCCACCAGCCCTGTAGTTCATGAATGACTTTGGGCTAGTCATGGCCTCGCTTATCTCACAGTTGTCTTGCTGTAATGATAACATGTAGAAAAGGAGAACCTTCTAAGCCACTTTGGGTTCCTTGGAAGAGGGAGAAAAGGCGGGGTATAAACGTAACGTGCGAATGTGGTGGTGGTGGATCTGGCGATGATGATCAAAAGAGCCAGCGGCCGCTTAAGGGGAACCGGTCTGGAGGAGGTGACGCTGATCCGGGAAAGGAAGAGCGCCTCAGCGGGGAGTGTAGGGGAGCCTCCCGCACCGGAGGAAGGCGACGCCGCGAGGGCGAGCCCGGCCGCCGCTCTTCCTCGGCGGGATCAGCTTCCCGGGAACGGCGAGGCCCCGCCCTCCCGCGTTTCCCAGGGTGCACCGCAGGGAGCAGGGGAAGAGAAAGGAGGAAGGAAAGTCCTGAAGCGGGGGAGGAGTCTCCCCAGAGGGACAAAAGTGAGTCTGGGCTGGAGGCTCCCGGCTCGGGAGGCGAGGGGGCTTCAGCCCCGGGGCGCGAGGTGCGGGGCGGCCAGGGCCGGGCGGGTGCGTGCATGTGGGAGCGGGATGCGGGCGGAGCGCGGCCACGCCGCAGGATGGGACGGGGGAAGCAGCTGTCCGTAGGGGGATCGGTGCCTGTGCCCCCGGAGACGGGGGAAGAGCGCGTTTGGCTCTTACCTCGCCAAATGCCCCTTTCTGAAAGCTCTGGGAGCCAGGAGTGTGTGGCTGTTAGGCAGTGCTCTTGATGTGCCGGACGCGAAAACTTTGAAAGGAAGCTGTTTGGTTTTGCTTTTTGGGGAACTCTGATGGAGCGTTTCCCTGTTAATGGTGACTTGAGGCATCTGATTTTCTGCTCTCGCTTGAATTGACATTAATTGCTCCATTATTGCTGTATTACCCTATTTAATTAAAGGCCATCTGGTTGCCTGGACTATTAGAGTGAAAATTGCTTTTCAGTTTAGATTAGTGCAGTGTGCTTGGTACTAAATTTTGTTTGGATTTATTGGCTGTGCACGTTTCAGTGGCTGGAATGTGTACATTATCGTACTTCAAAATACTTTTCAGTCTGCAAAAAGCCTTTTAATGTAAAAGACTTGAACCAATGTGGGGGAACAACATATGGTTAGGAGCATAAGGGAATTGAGGAAGGGGCGAGTCTCGCAAACTAAATTTGTGTTCTTGTGAATGTGTAGACATGAAAACTGGAAGCTGATTGAAGTATGTTAGAACATACTGCAAAACCAGACACAAACAATTGAAATTGAGCTGCAGAGGAGTACATTTTTCTAGTCTCAAACCCGAGCCTGGTTCATAAGCAGGAATTAAGCCACACTTTGGAGGTAGTGGGAAGCTGCAGTAACAAGCCATAGTGTCAGGGCCTGAGATGGAGTAAACATGCAGATTCGCAGCTTGTGCTGGGTGGGGATTAGCCATTGTGTATCAGCTGAGACAGATAGAGCTGGACTGGGCCCTCAACATGTTAAATGTACACTCTAAAAGAGAAGTTGTATTACTTAGTTCACACTAAACAGAATCCTGCAATGCTGTGGAAGTAAATTTGTGTGTAGCTTGTGCTACCTTATGCTGCAGGAAGGACCTCGCCTTAGTTCCATCCTCACACACGGAAAATTCTAGGCATTACCAGAATATCTTTTCCTGACGTGCTAGTTTCAGGTTTTAAACAAAACTTTGTTTTTCCTTCATAGGAAAGCATATAGTTATGGGAACCCAGCACCTGTAGCCTGAAGCAATAGTCAAGAGATTTACTGCTTTGGAAATACTGTGTATTTCTGTCTCCTCACAAATAGCACCACTGTTTTCACATTCTTTTCCTCTTTTATTTTTCACTGCCAGAAAGGACGCTTCCTGTCCCCTCTTCCTTTAAATGTAATTTTCTTCCTAGCCTTATTCTTCCTTCTCTTCCAGCTGTTCTGAGGGGCTGAAGTGGATTCCTAAAGACAGAAGGCCTCTTCTGGAATACAGTAGTCATGCCCCCCGACAAGGATGCCCCAGGATGCCTTGGCTCGCCTCCAGGCTTGATTTGCTTGCCACCCATCTCTGAGGACCTCCAGTTGGTTTGGACCCAAGCAGCACAAACTAGTGACCTCGATGGCAACCAGCACCTGCTGCAGACTTTTAGTTACTTCCCGTATCCCAGCCTTTCTGATCTGGCCTTGCTTTGCTTGCACCATGGGCTGCACATGGAGAAGGTTAAGGCCTGGTTCATGGCACAACGCCTACGCTGTGGCATCAGTTGGAGTGCGGAAGAAATTGAAGAGACTCGTGCTCGCCTCATCTACCATCAGGACCAGCTTCACTTTAGTTGCCTGCTTCCTGGGAATGATGGTGATTCCTTGCACCAATCTTGTAAGGGCCAGGAGTACCACCAACCAGTACCTGCTTCTGTGCACTACTCTAGTAAATACCTAGAGAACCAGCAATCTTTTGTAACTTCCTTAAACCACTGCAGCACAGCCCATGGAATGAGGGAATTTGAGAGAAACACTCAGGATATTTGGAAGCTGAAGGGAAATGTCTTGTCCCACACTAGCAAAACTCAGGAGAACTGTGAACCTTCAGGTACCTCTCTGCATCTTCACAATACCAAAGACACCATTTCTGGTGCTTATTTATCCACCGTGCCCACCAGCCTGGATTATAAGTTCCAGAACTCGCACACAATGGCCTGGGCCCTCCCAACAGCCTCCCCACAGTCAAACGAACTCAACACATCTGCAGTAAATGGTGGGTCCCACCCAGTGGTTCTTCCAGTAGGTTCTCCCCTCAAAGCAACACCATCTTCCTCAACAGGTACACCCAGACTTGTTGAATCGTACAACCTCCAGAACCACAAGTACCGTAAGGGTGACCAGCAACAGGCTTCAGGGTACTTGTCGGACACTGTGCGCAAACCTAGGAGAAAGACAAAGGAACAGCTGGATGTGCTCAAGTCCTTTTTCCTTCATCGCCAGTGGGCCAGGAGAGAGGATTACCATCAGCTGGAGAAGATCACTGGACTGCCGCGGGCAGAAATCATCCAGTGGTTTGGGGACACTCGCTATGCCCTCAAACACGGTCAGCTGAAATGGTTTCGGGACAATGCAGGGCAGAGTCCAGAGCCGGCTTCCTCAGTCCCTCCTCCTCCACTTCACAGCAGTCGTCCAGACACAAGCCCACTGGAGCGGTATTTGGCAACTCACCTGCAGTTGCAGGAGAGGGACTTGCCAACACTCTGCCACGAGTCTGGTATGGAAGCTGAACAGGTGCTGAAGTGGTTCCACTTGCACTCGCCAGCACCGTGTGAGGTAGAAGTGTGCTTGGGGGATGAGGATGAGGTCGACGAGGAGGTGGCCGCCGCTATGATAAAAGCAGAAGATGAAGAATATGAAGACGACGACGACGACGAAGACGACGACAACGATGATGACGAAGACTGGACTGCTTAGTCTTGGAAGTGGGCATTAGAGACTCTGGGCTGGGACTGAGGGAGGGATCAAGGTGATTAAAAACATTAGTAGCTGTTGGGAGCAAGGCCCCTGCTCCATCAGATTTCTGACATTGCCCACGATTCAGAATTGGTTCTTCTGCATTCTAAAACCTTTTCATTTAAGTTTGAGACTCATTCAGTTCACATGATCCAAACAGTCCACCATGGGTTATGTGAAGATTGTTTAGCCCCTCACACAACCCCGACTGCTCAGTTTTGCACATGACAAGCTGTGGCTGGTTGCTGAATATTCAGAATGGCTACCTGCAACCATGTCACAATGGGCTATTTAATTATGTGAGCCAGCCTAAACAATTACCTTGCCCTCCCCATTCAATGACTATGTATTTAATTATAGTTAAAGGAATTTTGGAAGGAGTGTTTCTAGTACCCTTTCAAGTTTCAGAATCTATTGTTTGAGTCCCTTCAGCAGTGGGCTGGATGGATCGGAAGGGTCTCTCTTCTAGCTTTCAAGCTGCAGTCTGTTCATTGCACTAACAGATTCCAGATTGCTTTCTTTGCTGATTTTTTTTCCTGGCTATTCTTGGGTTCTGAACCTAGTACCTCCCTTCATTATAATAACACCTAGAATTCAGGCCAGAGATACCTGTGGTGAGGGAGAACTATCTTGATTCTGCATTGACACACTATTTCCAACTAATTATTTTACTTCTGCTTCTAGAGTAGAAGTAGGATAATTTCTCTCATCTAAGTTGCATGGTCTTGGATTTTAATCCTTTCACGTACCTCTGTAACTTTCTATGTTTTCACTGTTTTCAAATTCCATGCAGGCCATATAAAACATCCAGCTACTCTAAGCCCATGTACCAAATATATCTTGCTCTGCTGAGTGAAGCAGCAGCTAAAGGAACATGATTTGCTAGTCAATCAAGAAAAATTTGTATTCTTTTTTACATACCAAGGTCCCATACAGTAAGAATGTATCAAAGAAATGGAGAAGAAAAACTATTCCAGGCATTTTTGCTCTAACTGTAGCCCTTCTTGGTTTTCCTTCTGTTGATTATAGGCTTGTGTTTCAACATTATTTTAAAATGTAGCCCTTCCCAAATGGCAGATATGAATGTTTGATTTTTGGTAGGTACTAAACGGTAGGGATTAAGATAGGGTCTGTGGATCTTTTGTGGCCTCAGCTTCATCATTTGTCTTCTATTTTAACTCACTTCTGGTATCTCTCTTTCCTCGTGCTTTGTATATCCTAACTTTTCTTCTACAAGAAAAAATGCTCGATGGCCTTTCTACTTATCTGTCACTTGTTATTGTTCATATGCTCTCTGCTCTCCCTCCATCAGTGCCTTGATTCACCAGCTTTCTCTGCCATGCTTTTCTGACCCCACCCCACGTCTTTCTACATTCCATACTGGTTGGATGATGCTATGACCTGAAAACTGTTTTCTACTTCAGTCGGGTGGTAAGAGGTAGAGACCATCTCCCCTGAGGAGGAAGAGTTGCCAAAACAGGGAAAGAATCACTATTTGCTTGGCATCTGTGTACCATTCACCAAGCTCTGATCTTCAGCACGATCATATTTCTTGTCTCCAATGTGATCTAAGGTAGAATAAGCTGCTGTCAGGTCTTAGCCCTTGATCATTTATAAGGGGTGATGCTGAAGACAGATTCTGAGATACTTGGAGGTATGAACAGGGAGGAGACTGTACAAAGGGATATTAATAATCTACACTTAAAAAACTATTTATTAACTTTTTCAAGAATTTCTACAGAATCTTTACAAAAATAAAACTTCTGGCAAGAGAAAATGAAAACACTGGAATAAGCTGATCAGCTACGCAGGACAACAGCACGTGGACTGCACAAGTTTGTGTGATACAGTTTCAAGAACACAACTTGTTCAAAATCTATCAAAAGAGAGGAATAACTGACATGTGGACTGATTACTTAATAAATAGCCATAAAAGAATATTTTGAACGCATTTTGATAATTAGTTTTGTCATCAATGATAGCTACTTTTCTATCTTTCCAAATAATTGCTTTTTAAAGGCTTCTCTTGTGTCCTCAGTTTGGGACACAATCATGTTTATAGACAAAGTAGACCTATATGCAGTGCAATCAGGATCAAATGGATGAAATATTTGAACTTTTCAACTGAGTTACATTTTAGACCCTGACAACATCAGAGCTTTCTTATTAACAAAATAATCCAATCACAATACAGACTAGATAGTTTTAGAATATAACTATACCATTCCTTCAGTGAAACCCTGGCAAAGATTTATTTATACCAATTAAATCAATCTATCTGAAACAGTATATTTTGTGTTGTGTGAGAGAAAAGGAATGGTGTTTGCTGTTAGCTGGTAGCTTTTCAATTCAGAATTTATACTGTCCAAAGTCAGGACAGGAAAGACTATGTTGCCCACGATCACGCAGCTAGACAGCAGTTACTTCTGTCCCCTGTTATTGGTGGTGGACTTGGCTGATGGATGGTTACCTGGGAAAAAGTACAAAAAGCTAGCTGTGCACAGCAAGACTTCATATTTCAGGCTTGCTTAACACTCAGTTAACTTCATTAAAACTTCTAATTACTGTTAGTGGTACACCAAACTGGTATACATACTTTACAATGTTGGTTTAAGAGAGGAGGTTGCTATATAAAAGACAGGTTTGGTTTAAGAGTGAGGGTAGGACGGGGTGATTCATAATAATTATACTTCATTATTCCCTTCATTATGTGATCTGTAAACATGTTCAAGACTAGAAGGTTTCTCTGAAAGCTGGATTAATAAGTCAAGCAACATCATCTCCAGCCTTGTGTTGCAAAGCCCTTCAAAAAAAGAAAGAGTAGTTCCTACCTGGAAATGTTATACTAACTTTTTTTCAGACTTCTCCAGTATGTACCTTTTGTTCCCCTAGTTTCTGATGGGAAGGCATGTTCTATTTACATAAAAGGATGGTTTGAGTGAGAATGAACCTCAGCTTGGAAGAAGAGAGAAAGAAAAGCTATGATTCAGAGTACTCAAGTGATAAGTCTTACATACTCTGCCTTCTCACCTGCATGGGATGAAGTCTCTCCATGCTGTGATGTTCTACCACACGGTAGCACTGTGTCTGACTAATTTGTAGGCCCGAATCAACAGGAAACAATAAAACCAGCAGAGCTCTGGAGCACATACTGAGAGAATATGGGATATAGCGGTACATGTGTCCAAATGCCTAACCCCTACTAGTATATAGCTGGAACTCTCGAGTGTAACCCCTGCTACAGCAGACTGGTGCGATCAGCAATACCGGGCACAGAGAGGGAAGGGATATGAAATGAAAGGTGTCTTCATTATCAGCTAGGTACCCTTTTCTCAACAGAGAAGTTGTTGAGGCTTAAGTATGGTGCTGCCCTTTGCTGCCTGGTGTTAGTAGCACTCTGATCTTGTCTCAACACACGGGGCTGTAGGCTGAAGACAGTGAAGCTGCAGATGTGGGAAGAGGAGGGAGAAGTCCTGAAAGGAATGGAGTGAAGAGGAGCAGAAGTGAAAATTGTGTTTCAGGCAACATCAGATGCATATGTATTTTTACAGTCATGTGATAAATAGTGTATGGAGGAGACTGTTCCCCCTCCTGCAGCTCACCTGTAGAATAAACTTCATGTGGAAGCTGGAGATAGAGTAGCTGCAAATCAAAACTTTGAAGTATTATATCTAAAATTAGTGATAGGAATTTTATGGAAAAGTGACAGGGAACGAGCCAGGTTATGCATGTGGGATCTTGTTATGCATGCCTAATTTAAGATAAGTATTATAGATTAGGGTCCATTAGATAAAAAGAGACAGTTTTCCCTCCTGAAGACTGAATAAGCTCAATTCCAACTTTAAGCTATAGCGTATTCCCTGGCTACAGAGCTGGTATTGAGTCCAGCACAGGTGTATTTGCAGCCTTGGAAAAGGAGGCAGGAGGAGGAGAAGCAGCTTTCTGAGAATCTCCAAACTCCACTTTGAAGCTTGCTTTACCTCTTTCAGTTCAGATAGGGAAAACATGAATTTCATGTGTATTTTTCAAAAGCAAGCATTTTCTCCACTGACCACAGCATGAAAATACCATTTTTAAAGTGTGCATTTAAAAAATCATGTTTAAATGTGACTGAAAGTTCAGGAGAGTGTGAGGTTGTTCCAGTGATTTCCTCCCACTTGGAGTTGTGAATGAGACAGGTCAAAAAATTTTTATCTCAGAAGCAGCTTGCATTCTGTATTTTCTGGTCCTATGTTACCACCTTGTGGTCTTTTGTGCTCTTCACAGCAAGTCTAAACATGGCAGAAATTCATTGTCCTATTTGACTATAATTATTTCTTACCATCAGTGAACCAGCAGGGGTTATCCTCATGGCACCTGTGGCACACTTGATAAAAGTGAAGGTTGTTATTATTTAGAAAAGTCATTCAAGTGATGTACATAGTCAATAGGGCAACAATTGGAACATTCTAATTGTAGCATTACTATTCTTCCTTGAGTCTTGTAGTCTTTGTCAGACAGATAGTATTTGGAACTGAGATGGGAACAACGTACTAGGGAACAAGGGAAGTGCAGGGTGTGGGGTCTCTTCCACAGTCATTATGTTGCTGTCATTATTTCAAAAGTTTTCAGCAGATGGAAGAGAATAGCCTGCCACGGGAGTGTGTTACCAAGCACCAGGCCTGTGCAAGACAAAATATTATCCAAAGAGCACTGGGACTTTTTAATCACAGGAACACAGAAAAATGTCTTATAATGAGCCAGCTCATTGATCCATCTAGCCTAGTATTGGCAACAACCCTCCAGGGTTTCAAATTTGATTGCTTCCCCTTTGTGAAGTAAACACAATGTTTTGAACATGGGACCTTCTGTATGCAAGGCACGTGATCCACCGCAGACCTACAGCTCTTTCATCCTGCACAGCAGCTTTCCATGGCTTCTCCTCTCAAAATGCCCCATGCCACTATGAGTCTGTACAGAAGAAAAAATGCTCATCTTTCCATGCCCTATTCTGAAAGAAGGAGAGCAATGTGGGGCACTTACTTGCCAGTTTGGGAGTTGGTTTTCTCTGGAAGAGATGGAGTCCCAGAAAGAAGAGCATCTGAAAAAAAGCACAAAAAGCCAAGGAGTGGAAAGGCTAGATATGTAAGTAGAAAGACAATACCTACACAGGGTATTTTGCCATGAGTTCTTGATTTTTAAAACCAATTCAAAGTTCCTTGCTATAGAACTGGACAGAGGATGGACTGTGGTCATAGCAAGCAGCATATTGTATCAACAGCTGAAAGGGTTAGACTTGCTTTTCAAGGGTTGCGGGGAGAGAAGAGCTGAATTTCCTTGAATTCTGAGTAAGATTTTTTGGTACAAATTATTCACAATCCTCCATATCTATAACCAAAGAACATGATATTCTTTTTGTTCCTGACCGACCATCTCACTGGAGTGTTGGAAAAAAGGATCTGGTGTAACTGCAAAGTATAAAACCGCGAGTACAATACTGTGGAGTGGTGGTATACTGTGCTAGGGGACATTGAAAACAACTTCTTCTATAGTAGTAGTAAATATTGCTTTCCTCAGTGATTAAAAAAACCTTTACCAAATTAGCAGAGAAAAACTTTGAAATGTGTTTCTATTTGTTGACCTGTTAAAAAGAATTAAAGCTGCTTTTAGAGTAAACCCTCCTATTGCAGCATATGCAACTTCCACCCTGTTTGGAGAATTCATGAAGGACATCGTGTGTGTGTATGCATTCGTGCGCACACTTTTTCTGCCAAGCAAGCATGCATTGATTCCTGTGTTCGCAAGGCAGAACATGTGCACGTCCTTGATCATCTTCAGGAAGATCTGCTCCCATGTGCACCACTGCTGCGAGGCAGAGGCCCATCTGTCTACCTACCTGTCTGTTGTGGAGGTGTAATGGCAACCAGCCTTGGGATGCTGTTTCTGCAGCAAATCGAAATGCGTTTTGTCCAGTTAAGGTTAAAGCCACATTATCTTGTCCCAGATGTTTTGCTGTCCTGGTTCTCAAGCCTAGCTCCCTTGCTCAGGGACTAGGAGCCCTAAATTATTGCCTGCATTTTACGTATTGCAGCTTCTGGTGATTATCCCAAAAGGACAAAACACTAATCTGCTACCCTGGTGGTGTCCTTGAAAACCCTGTTAAGAGAGAAAAGGGAGGGTTTACAGGATACAGAGTTCCACATAATATGGCAATATGTTGATGGAATTGCCCCTTCCCTGCAGAGACAAATACACAGAGGGAGCAAGACTCATTTCTTCCAGCAGAGGGAGTAAGGAACCAAATGATTAATTTTGAACAAGTATCTACCTTCCAGCTAAGGTACTTCTTTTTCAATTCCCTGTTCTCCTTCAGTATTGTCTCCAGCTCCCTCCCCTCAATGAGGGTGGGAAAGATACAAGATGGCTGATCTGACTAAGCATTTGGCACTGCCCTTCCCACCTGCCCAGGTCCACTTTTGTTCCCTCTAAGGAACACTGCCAGTAATCTAGAACACAGATGACTCCAGGGGTTACAAAACCAATTACTTTCACTTCACAAATAATTAACATAATCTAACATCTAGTAATTTAAATTAGAAGTCCTTTTTTAAAGAAGAGAATATATTCCTATTCTCCATACCCACCCCACACACAAAATCCTAACTGGTTTGTGTTAGCATTATAATAAAGAGGGCCCACTCCACCCTTACTAGAGTTTGTTTCTGCACTGAAAAGATGCTTCCTTTCTGAAGAGGATGGAAAGATATTTCATATGGCTTCACTGACAGGACTTTCTTTTGTGTGTTTGTGTCTTGTGGGGAAAGGGAAGAATGGATTTCTATACATGAACAGTATTAGGGAATATATTCAATGGGCCTACTCTAACTATGACATAATTGGATTTTAGCCACCCTTTTAACAATTACACCTATATCCTGCTCTTCCTTGAAAGAACTCCT